GAAGAGACAGAGACTAAAAGGGGGGGGGGGGTAACTTCAGTCCTCTACCTTGACATGAGGAAATAAAAAATAAAAAAGACAGACAGACAGGTAGGAAAAAAAACTGGCAGAGAAAACGACAGACAGCTTCTGCTAGTAAACAGCTCTGTATTTTGCATTGCGGAGAGGAAACACAAACGTCTGAGCATTGTTTGTTCATTCAAGTCTGAAGATGTGTGCGATTGTGTGTGTGTGTGTGGCTAAATCTGCCAGATATGAAGCAGTAAGTGAGCAGCTGATGTCCCCTCTGCACAGGCCAATGACTAAATTACTCAAGTGCACAAGCGCATGTCCATAAAGTGTGAGTTTGTGGTTTCGTTTCTGCTTCTTTCAGTATCTCGCCACCACCGATAACTGCTGTTTGTGTCATAAACGCAAAAACATTCAATCCCAAAGAGGCTCAATCCGTCTCCCGTCAGACGCCGTTGATTCCATCCAAGGAGCGTCTATTTCAGGAGTGACGGCAGATCATCTAAACACAAACATCCCGCCACACGCCGCCATTCAAACAGGTCAACACAATCCATCATCCAGCATGTGTGTGCGTCTGTGAGTGTGCGAGTGTGTGCAGGAGAGACAAAGATAGCGACGGAGTGAGAGACAGTACCTGTCGATGATAACAGGGTCTGAGGGTGTCTCATTACGGTTTCCGCAGCTCTTCTTGTCACAGCACCGGCTACGAGGGGAGGCGGCGGCAGGAGAAGACACAGTGAGAAAAAACGGGGTGAGAAAAAGACACGGGAACACGCGGTACTTTATACAGCAGTTCAAATGTAGGCGTTTAAATGTTACAGCATATTGTGCGCTTTGATTGCACTGAGCTTGGGCGGAACTTGACAACAAATTCACATCAACGTATTGAATCTATCGATCATCCGTGAGACAGTCCTCCAGAAAATAAACGACACAATCGAGCCTCAAAATTATAGATATTGTTTTACATCGACAAAGCACTATAACTATCGATCTTTTCTTCTGGCAGCCGAGGAGGTCAGGAGGGACAGATGGTTCAACAAAACCTTTGACTTACACTTAACTAGTATTTGCATTATCCCAATTAGCATTATGTTTCCTTAAAGATTACAAAAGTGTTTGTGCCAACTCCTAACCAACCCGTTACCATCTATGGACTTATCTAAAAGGTAACGGCTAGCAAATGTTCTCACTGCCTCACGGAGAGTTGACAGACTGGACGATATCCGGGGAACTACATCTATTGTTTTTAGATCTGGGGAAAATGATCCTATATTCATCTCCTGAGAGGCTGCTGAGGAAGGACTTTCAACACACAGTGCCTTTAGAAAAACGATGTGTAACTTCCGCTCCATCCTCACTGTACTGACTGGTGGGGGGGGGGGGGGGGCTCAGAAGAGGAGGAGAGGGTGGGATACGTACATCCGCAAGTGATCGAAAATTCACACACATGTACTGCTAGTGTGTCAACGCTTTCGTGCGTGCATCAATAATGAATAAAGGTGTAAGCAGGAGGGGAAGCAAAAAGGCTTGGAGGGGTACGGGGTAGCGGAGCAATGATGAAGAGTGAAAGGATGAACGTGGGAGGGAAAGCTAAAAAACAAGAGTGGGGGAGGATGGGGGGGGAGAGGTTTGGGTGGGAAGAAGGGGAAGGGGAGACGTCTCAGGTTTCCCACCGACACAGATGGCGGAGGTGGAAAGAAAGAGGCAGATACGTTACACCTCACACATTGTCTCCTATCTGCCGCTCTGCCTCCCCCTCTGCCTCCCTCTCTGTCTCCCCTTCTGCCTCCCCTTCTGCCTCCCCCTCTGCCGGTCTGCAAACTGGGTCAGCGCACGGCACCGGCCAGGGTTAAGACACAGGGAACGGGAAAATTGGGAGCACAGGAAAAGAGGAACGCTGAGGCTGAGGAGGGAGTGCTGGGAGGGAGTAATGGGTGAGGGTGGGGTGGTAGATGAGGAGGGGAGATTAAAGGAGGACAGTCAGGGAAGAGGAGACAGGAGCAGAGCGGAAGATGTTATAAATGGAGTTGTGGTGGGAAGGAAAACGAGGGGTGGGACGGGGTTAATGTAGCTCTTATTGCTTTGGATCCTGGTGATCTAATCACCTGCTCTCTCTCTCTCACACACACACACACACACACACACACACACACACACACACACACACACACACACACACACACACACACACACACACACACACACACACACACTATGAAACCTTAGAGTCTCAAAAGAGATTTAAAGAAGACATTTCTTAGCAATTCTACATGTACATGTAAGTAGAAATATGTCTGCGATCTCTTCGGTTGACAGAGCTCAGCTGAAACAATCGTTCAGTTAATCAATTAGTGGAGTGAAAAAGTTCCAGCTTTTTAAATGTGAGAATTTGCTGCTGTGCTCTGTTTTGAATCAGTGTCAATGAAATGTCTTTAACCAGCCAATTTGCAAGTGTCATTCTGGGGCTCTTGGACACATTTTCCGATATCTCACGTGTTGGTGCCAGAGCTCCAACCGGCTTGTTTGCGATGCAGGTTTGTGTGTTGGCAGATTGGCTGGGAACATATGGCTAATAGCACCACCCTGACAATGAGCCACACTGATTAATGGACGCCCTGAGCTCTTTGTGTGTGTGTGTGTGTGTGTTTGTGTGTGTGTGTGTTCCACGTTGCATGTTGTTCGGGGGCCCCCGCTGCAGAATCAGCATGTGGGAACACGAGGTAAGAGCCGTAACTTTGACCCGAGCGGCTGCACTCGTTGCAGAAGTCCTACTTCCTGCACCGCTGCTCCCGCAGAGGATGTGCTTGAATATCGGGAAGCCTCTCTGCCGTACGAGGTCCAGAGTACGGATTCAGAACACTTTATTCATGCCCACAATGCATTCCCCACATAATGAACAACAATAACTTACTCAAATCTGGATTTATTTATGAATTCCTTTTCGTTTTCAAAGGATTTTTCTATAAAAGCTGTGCAGCTGAGCTGACTGCTGATTATTCGGTGGGCTATAGAAATAAAATATTAGTGTGCCTGATTTCATGGCTAAAATCCCTGCTCGTGCATACAGATGAACCCCAATTTATATTGTTACGGTTAAAGTTGTTCAGTGACAAGGTCAGGGAATAAGAACAACTTAATTCATGTGCTAAAATTGAATTTTTATAACTGCGGCGTGCAGGAGGGAGCGTGCATATGCATACTGGTTTAAATATACATATGCATGTGTGCGTGTGTGTGTGTGAGAGAGAGAGACCCTGCCTATATTTTACAGTCAGATTATGGAGGAAGGCCCATTTGTTAGCCATGAAACAACAGGAGGGTTCAGATTGACTAATGAGTTTCTCTGTGTCCTAATTAACCAGGCGACACACACACACACACACACACACACACACACACACATGCGCGCACGCACACAAGCACACAACGCATACATCCACGCACACATTTTCCATTGTATAAGATAGGTGGGTAAAATGCCTCCATAAATAGATCTATTTCCTTCCAACCTACTTCGGAAGATATTCATCTTTAGATTATAATTAAAGCAACCACTCTGATATCTAAAACTAATCTTCTTCAACATATATGGCTTTGTGTGTCTGTGCATGTGTGGGGGGTAATTAGGGTGACATAATGACAACAATGTATTGAGTGCGGAGAGTTGACTGGCGAGAACTTTCCCCAGACGAACAAAGAAGAAAAGAGGAGAGAGAAGGGCAGCGAAAGTAGGACCTGGAACGGTTGTTTGATATTGATAGAATTGAGGAGCCATTTCTCACCTGCACATGATCTCATGTGTCAGCAGCACTCTGCACATCTCTGGATTCTTGTCCTGGCCTTCATAAATAATCGCCTGTTGGGAGAGAAAAAGAAAGCTCAGCGTGAGCTCGGAGCCAGCGAAACTAGACAAACACAGAGCTCCAACCCAGCAAGTCGTTGCTCTGAGGCCAGTAGTCGGCTAATCGGCCGCTTTCGTCTTGGACGACTGAGATTTCAATATGTTATTATTACTAAAATTATTATTATTATTCATTTTGTTATTCTTTTTTATGCTGACTTACTTATTTCCAAGAAATTCACACTCACTTAGATTCACAGATTAAAATCAACTAATCAATTAGTTTACCAAAGTGTTAGTCGGCTAAAAAAATGATTTGGTGGAGGTCAGCCTCTACTGTGGGTGTTTTTCATCATAGCAGACTAAGCATTGAGCTGTGTGACGAAAATAAGTAGATTCAGAACATGTTGTACGACTCAAAATGTCCTCTTTATAAATAATAATGGAGCTCTATAAAACAGGAAGTTAAGCTATTTTGTGCCTTATTGGCTAAATGGAGCATTCCAGTTAGGATAAATTAATTTGGGGCTTTGGTATTTTCTTTAACAACCACATCCTTTAACTTCTTATCATATCGAGAGTAACTTCAAATAATACTTTTCATAATCCAGCTGTATATTCAAAGAGCATTGGCCAGTCTCTGCTCCTCAAAAGTCATCCAGCTGTGGCTCCTGTTATACAATCTCCCCGCTCCTTGTGTAAAGCTCAGAATAAAGCGAAAGCACAAGTCACACACCGCTGAGCCATCTATCAATCAATACACACGCCCCGTCTGTCTTTGGTCTATTCCAGTCTGTTTGAACCGTCGTTCCAAACTCCGGCATGTCTCACCGAGTGACAAACTCATTTTTCTCAGGGAGCGGTGAAGAACTTCCACCGTCCTCTCTGATAGTTTCAGACGACCTGCCGCCATCCATCGAAAAACCAGTTTGAGTTTTAAATGAGGGTCATTTAAATAAGTGAAAGCTTTGACAAACTCATGCTGACGATCTGTGATCATTCTACATTTTATTCTACATCATTTAACTAGCATCACTTCTTCGACTCGCTCTGGTCCGACGTGTAAGTCCTTTTTAAATAAATAGTTTTTTCTAAAAATGTGTTAAATATGTGATTGAGATTTACATTCACACACACTCTCATTGTATATTTTAAATATCTATAATCTTGACATTTCATTTTAAATGATTAAACCGTGTAAAGTTTGTTTACATATGAACAACGTATGAAAAGCTTTTTTTGTGCTTCAAGTCAAAGAGTCTTTAAGAGACATAAAATCAGACTTGGACCGTTCCACCAAGGGCCCAGGGCGAACATGTTTTACATGGGGCCCCAGAATGAGCCGAGGTAGAGACTGAGCCGCTCATTTAAAGAAAATACAACCCAACATGGTCCTCAGAAACCAGCTTGGAGCAACAACAGTGGCTGTGCAGTGTGAGGGACCTATTGCAATATTGTTCTGGCCTGAAGCGCTTCATCCTAGCAGTGGTAGCCGCCTCATGGACTCTCTGTTTTTCTGCAATTGGAGCCCGAATTTGTCTCAGGGCCCGGGGCCCCTATCAGTTACAATTTCCCATGCAGGTGCATCTATTCCAGCTGCACAAATCCCTTCAGGAGAATTATCCACGCATGAATGTTGAGCCTGAAGGGCTCCTCGTGGTCCAAGACTGCAGGACTGTGCCGTCGATGCAGGCATGAGTCTGTTTGATTTCATTTCTGAAGGGGCCAGTTCTCCTAAAAAAGCTGTAGTTCATTATGCTCGAGAACAAAATAACCTGTTATCCGTTCTGAGAACTGATTTCAACAGAAGCAAAGAACCTCCTGTTAACGCACCCGCTGTTTCTTTAATCCCTCTCCATCAAAAATTGAACGTTACTGTTCCTATTTGATTACGGCTCAATGAAAGCAAATCTGAGCGTGTGAACTGAAAAGATTGAACAGAGAGAATCTGAGGAATAAGTGTACTTTACAAGACGCATTTCTGTCCATGATTAGACCTGCTCATTGTGCCATGGGACAGGAGTGGGCCAGGCAGCTTCCTCTGGACAAACATGCATCAATGCCAACTCGACCTCTGTCGCCTCCTTTCTTTCATGCACTTTTGCTCTTTTGTTCTGCCTCTCTCTCGCTCTCACACAGACACACACGGACACACACACATTTATCTTTATGGACAGAATCGGGTCTGATGTAACTGAGCTTTCCTTTAAAATCACAGAAGATAAATCACTGTATATACTGTGTGTTTTTTGTTATTCTCTCACCTCTGCAAGAGACATTGTCTGTAAAACCAAATTAAATGAAATGAGCTCCTTTAACGGACTTCTTACATTGCCCCTATTTTCTTTTTCCCAGTTGACCAAATATTTTGCAAGATAAAGGAAAACAAGCAAAAGCTTCCTATTCTGTGTCAAATCTTGTAGAATTACGGACGGATCTTGTCTGCGACAACGCTGCTTATGTAACAGCGAGAGACTAAGTGAGCAGGTCACTTCTTCATTGTGCAGATAAACGCCATTCATGGTGGTCAATTCTTTTCCAGCTGATTCGTCTCCCTCTCTTGCCAAAGCTGGATCAAAATCTAACAACCTTTGCATTTGGTTCGACCCCGTTTGGTAAAAACTTGTCCGTCCTGCTTCGCCAACCTGAGACGTCTGCAGCTCCGATCGGGAGGAAAACTCCGCGGAACACTTTAAGGATAATATTGAATCCACCCGGCTTTTGTAAACCTGCGTTACATCTTCCTCCAATAACTTCCCCCTACCATCCCAGCCCATGTTCGTCTTCATCGCGCTGTCACCTCGCTCGCTCTGCTGCTACCCTTTCATCTGCTTTTTCCTCCTCTGCCTCCTCGCTCGCTCGCTCTCTCTCTCTCTGCCTCACCGGGCCTTTTCACACAGCATCTCCGCCGCTCTCTCCTCCACCTTTGAAGCAGCGTGACACGTGCGGCGTGTAAACAAGGAGCCGTTAAGCAGGGGAACACACTTCCTCCCGCGTTAGTGTCAGGTCGACTAGCGAGCGAGTGATCCGGCGGGGGCCGCGGCGACAGGCGCTTTATTCTCCGGGACGGAGTCGAGATCGACTAGGCTCTCGACTCGCTCTCTCTGCTTCTGAAAGACTAGGAGGCGCTCTCCTCCTCCGTTTAACACAATCAGCGCTCCGTGCTGGCTCGATCACACACACACACAGGGAGACAGACAGAAATACCAGAATAACAGAAATAAGTGGCGAACGTTGAGTTGCAATGTAATGGATGAGTCAAAGTGAAATACAGAGAGTCAAAGACTACTATTGCCCCGGTTTGCGATCTCCCATCGGAGGTTTCTCATTGATTGGTCTTCATTAACACGTGAAATGTGTGAGGTTCACAGTTGATACAACTCTGCCATTTTTTGCTGCAACCAAACATCAGACTAGGAAGACTCACCGGCCCGTTCCCTACGACGGGACTTTTAGAAACTATAACTACAAATGTCATTGGGATTTGTAGCAGGGTTTGTCCTCCCGCCCAAATAACCTGGGATCCATTGTGAATACCATAATGGTTTGGTTGTGGTTAAGAAGAATACAATTGGCAGTGGAATTTGTGTGGAAACTATACCCTTATTTTGTTTTAGAAGTGTATTTAAAAGTAAAGTAAGATACACACACACACACACACACAGGATTTTGTGTGTGTGTGTGTGTGTGTGTGTGTGTTTGTGTGTGTGTGTGTGTGTGTGTGTGTGTGTGTGTGTGTGTGTGCGTGTGGGTAGAGAGACAGTGGCAATGACATCACTGACCAACTAAGTGAACCACACGGCTGTTTTGGTTTGACCACCTGTTAATGTTCCATTCCTCTACCGCCGGGGCTCACACACATACGCAGACACACACACACACACACACATTTGCTTTACTGCTCCATGTGCAGTTCTGCCTCGGTGCCTGAGTGCGTCCACACAGTAGATAAGGCACTAAATACCGAAGCTGTTTCGTCTCTTACTCATATATAAAAACATAGACACACACAGACCCACACAGACACACGCGCACAGATGCGCGGCGCTGCAGCACACACCTGCCTACATCAGCGTCTTTCCAAAAAATGACTTTTCTTTTGCAAGATTTCAAAATCTCTTTATGTAGGCAAAAAAAGGGAAATGAAATCAGCAGTTTGATCTTTCAGACAAAGACGAGCATGGTGTATTTGTATGCGTTTCAGAGGTCAAACTCCCCTCTTTGGTCTGTGTGTGTGTGTGTGCGTGTCTGTGTGTGTCTGTGTGCGCGTGTATAGCTGGCTGTCACCCCAGCGAGCTGAAGCTTAACATTGTTATTAGGGAACAGTGTGGTCCCTACGACCTGCCAGACACACACACAAAGACACACAACGACACGAATACGGACACAATGTGAGACTGAACATCTCTTTACAATCAAACAACGCAAAGATCCAGTAGATCCAGAGGATCCAGTGAGCCGTGCATAGCAGGGAGGCTTCTTCTTTAATTCTGAAGACACGTATTGACATGAAGCTAATCCAACCTAAACCCTCCCGGCCTTTGTCCGAAGAGGAGGACCAGTCAAGGTCTAAAAAATGTCCTCAATCTCAGGTTTAAAACTGAAATCGGTTCTGATAAACAAATATGTGCGCGCACACACACACAACATCACAAATCATTGAGAAGAAACACTTAAGCTGTCCTCTCTCTCTCTCTCTCTCTCATATAAAGGTGCATACAAACAAAAACATTAACAGAAACATGGTATCGGATCAGAAAATGTCTGCTACTCAGCAAACCAAATCCCAAACATGCAGTTATATCTTTTCCACTTCGTACTGTGAGCAGCAGAATTACGCCTGTTTCTCAACACCCACTCGCTGCCTCCTCGCTCTAATCACAGCGAGAGAAGTACAGGCAAAGATGCCTGGAGCCATGTCATTTGTGTGTGTGTGTGTGTGTGTGTGTGTGTGTTTCCCCACCCACATACACTGTGGAAGCACCCACCCACAGAATGTCTTACACACACACACAAACACACATTTTTGTGTGTGCGAGTGCAGATAGAGGAGGCGGCGAAGTACAGGAGGATCAATGGAGCAGCTCATTGTGGGAGAGGTAACAGGAGAGGTGACAGACATTGTGAAAGAATGAAAGGGGTGTGTGTGTGTGTGTGTGTGTGTGTGTGTGTGTGTGTGTGTGTGTGTGTGTGTGTGTGTGTGTGTGTTAAAATGTTTACCTGTTTGGTCATGGAGTCTATAAGTCGAACATAAAAGTCCTGCTCTGTTCTGATGCCTGTTTGGAGGAGGACAAAAAGTCATTAAAAAAATCAAAAAAGAGAATTTGAACATTCAAAACTGTAAAAATATTGTACGTTAATTTCACAAAAAACAGTGATAGACGCCTGCATTACCCAACAAACCAATTTCTAATTATAATGGTCGCAAAACATTAAAAATTATTCAAATCACTCAACCCTTTTTTTATTACGTTTTCCTAACCTTAGATTTTTTTTTTTATTTCATTATTAAGGCCTGAAAAATGAATTAAGGGGAAAAATCATTTTTTCGGGTTAAGCTCGACACGCAACCTGACAGCTTTGTATTTTAGGGTTCTAAGTTTTCGAGGACCTGGAGGCGCTCGGCTACACGTGTTTCATATCACATCGTGAAATAAATGTGTGTTTTTTACTGTAATATGCATCTAGTCAACTTATACTTGAAGCCCTTAAAGGCCTTTGCAGTTTGGACAACGCAAGACACACAACTGTGATTAAATTACCCAGAAGCTGCCATTCAATGGTTCCAGAGATATTCAACATGGGAGCATTTTGACTTCCAACGTCCATTTCCACATGCAAATAGAATTTAAAATCAGTAATTCCTTAATCACTAACTAACCCACATGACTCACTCTGCAGGCCTGAATAATGCGGTCAAACAGCCTCTCTTCAAACTCATTTAGGGACACAGGGGACGAAGCCAAACGACACCCAGCACAGCTGCTTTGACATTGTCTCATTTCTACAGATATTGATCCAATTACACACGTGTGAAATACTACACTGCAAGTTTTCCGAGATGAACAAATCTTTACCGCCTTTTTTTCCATATTGGAAAAAGTCGGCTGCTTCCTGTCTGTATTCTGTGTATTCCAACATCTAGAGCGGCGATCCATCGGATTTGGTCTGATTTATTGTAACTTTATCAGCGTGTGTGTGCGTGTGTCTGTGCGTGTGACTCACCGTTACTGTAAAGAAGCTGCAGCCGGTAATGGATCCCGTTATTGGTCTTCTCCCCGCTCGTCTCCTTGGTACACAAAGGGCATTCAAAATAAAAAATAAAAAGCACATCTCTGAAGATGAAAGTCCATGAAGCGCACTAAGTTACTGATTTATTTACATCGGGCACGCGCTGAATAACCGCGTAATTTATGTTCGCAGCGGGCAGCTCCGTCATTTCCCCACGTGTTCCTTGTGGGGTTATTGTGCCTTTTTAATTCCTCTGTAATTACCGGTTTGGTTAGGAGGGCAAATTAATCTGCCACTGGAATCTCCAACTGTATTTCAGGTCATTTAAACGGTGTCATAATCGATGATTTAGATGGTTGTATAAAGTATATAAGTTGTTGTTCATCCAGCTAAAGTAAAATGAAATCAAATGTCGAGGTTGTTTTCCTTTTTGTCAAACATCCCGAGTTTTTCAGTTATGTGTGTAGCATATATAGTGTGTCCAATTTTATCTAAAATTTTACAAATAATAATTAAAATAATTAAATACATTATATCGAAACCAAATAATGTATTTATTGCAGCCTAAATGCGTAATTGTGACGTTTAATATGTACATCGATAATATCAAACAAACACTATGAAATGATTCGGCCTTTAGGAAATCCAGTTAAAGAATCTCAAATCCTGAATACTAAAAAAAAAAAAAAAAAAATCAGAACACGGTTCCTCCACCGACCTTCTCTTTCTCGATGAAGCCCAAGAAGTTGGTCCTCTCGATCTCCACCGGCTGACCCTGCCGGTCGTAAAGAGCCAGGACGAAGTGGAAGAAGTTGGATTTGCGCAGGTTTGAGGGCGGCTGCTTCTCAAAGTGCGCCCGGGCCAGACCCACTCCGCTGCGGACACACATGAGCGGATGAGTCGCTGCTTGGATGCTGGAAAGTTCTGACTTTCTATTGGTTAAGTAAAAAATGATTATGCGAGCAGGGAATAAATCGTTTAAATGGTTTTATATAAGGAAAACCTATTAAAGGGGGAAGAAAAAACAAAATCCAGGTTTTTTTCTGATAATATTAGAAACTTTGTGTTTTTAACCTGAGACAGGAGGTCTTGATTTACCCACCTTCCATGACTCTGTTGGCAAAATAGAGAATCGTGGTCTTCTTGAATAAAACCATGAGCATGTCTAGAAAAGAGTGAAGATGGAAAGTTTTTCTCAACATAAACCCCGAGCATTGATCTAGAATTATTTATCCGCCCCTCAGCCAATATGGACAGAAAAGACACACGTTGCACGAGCATAAGAATCTGTAGCAGGAACCAACATGCCACTAACTGTTGTTTTAAAAGTATATCAACCGCATTAATAATCCTAATTTTCCAAATGAATCCTAGAAACAGTTTAATCCAAATATCGACAACAGCTCCCATCAGCACAACCTCGTGTCCTGCACGGGGAGGGGTGGTGAAGGAGAGGGGGAGAGGGGGGGGGGGGGGGGGGGGGGGGGGCTGCATGGCCCTCAATCACGTTGTCTCGGTTTTAGGATGGAAGGTTGGCGGGCTGGTCTCCTCCACCCCCAAAGAGGAGCTCACCTTTGGGCGGCCGTGTTGGCGTCCAGCACGCCGCCCCCTTGCATCCAGCTCCGGACGGTGTTCATGCCTCCCAGCGGCTCCTCCTTCAGGCTGCTGCCGCTTCGCTGGATGCTCTCCTGGATCCCAAACATGAACAAGCCGGCGTGTCTCGCTCCTGGTCTCCCTCTCTCCCTCTCACCCCCGGCCGGCTGCGCACTTGTTCTGCCGCAGATGTTCTGCGCTCCGACTCTAAAGGGGAGCAACGTGGTTGCGCTCTTTGCTGCCGCGCGCGCTTCGCCAGAAGTGAGCGATTAATTCCCGTGATTCTTCTCCTCGTGAGAAGGTGGGCTCCAAAAAATAAAATAAAAAATGTCCCAACCCAACGACGTGTGTAAATCACCGCAGGACGCGGACGGGACCGAGGTGTGTCCAAAAAAAAGTGACTCCCGGCGCGCTTTGCGTTCCACGGTTCAAGCTGTCAAGAGAGACACGAGAGATCAACACCCGATAGATGTCATCGCGGTGGGACTTTTCTTTCTTCCTCCTCTCTCTTTTCTGGGGGTGGGGGGGTGGGGCACTTTGTTTTGTGTCGTTCTCCCTCTGCCCGGCGGTCCGGGGCGCGTCGGGCTCTGTGGTGTCCGGTGCAGCGCGGCTCGCTGCGGATGACTCGCTCCCTCTCTGAGCAAACCGCTTTGTGACTCTTCTTCCCAAAGGACTCTCTCTGAGAACCGAACACGGGCTTCTCCGGGAGGGGAGGGAGGAAGGGAGGGAGGTGGAGTGGGGGGGGGGGGGGGGGGGGGGGGGGTACAGGACAGGAGGGGAGGGGATGGGGGAGAGGAGAGGAGACGCCCCCCCGACAAAGGCGAGGGCTGGAGTCAGTCCGCCCAATGCAGCGGCCACAGAGCTCTCTCCTCTCCTCTCTCTCTCCCTCTCCCCTCCTCTGCTGCTCCCCACCCCTCTGCTCCTCTCTCTCCTCCTTAGCCGGTAACGGGATTTTTCTCTCTCTTTTCTGTAAATGTAGAGATTAATTCTCGCGTGCACCAACAACACTTCCATCGACCGAAAGTTGATTCATGCCCGTGCAGAGCAGTCGGCTGCACGATGCTGAATAAAGCATTGCTCAGTGGCGCTTCGGCAGGGTCGACACTTTTTTGTGAATGAAAAAAAAAAGACTTCATGTCGTGGAAATATTAAAGATAAGGTTAAAAAAAAGTCAGTATTTGATTGAGGACATGGGAAATATCCTTTTTCTCATAAATTTGATTCATAAAGCATAGAATAAATTGATATTAAATCGCCATTCTGAGCGGCAATGTGCGCTTTACTGCGAATTAAAACCCCTTTTGGATCGCGTATCCAGCAGTCAGTATTTAACTCATTGCCGCTGCAGACAGTTGATATACGTTTGATATGAAACCTCAGGCGTCACTTTCAGATCAAAGTTCTAGCACAAGGCTCAATCGTTAAATGCATATTTCGTCGTGTCCCCGCTCCTCATTCTCTCCCCGGGCCGGATCATCGCAGGCTGGCGCCGAAAGACTCGCTAACAAAAGTGACAATAACAATAATTAGCTCAAAATAACAATGAACATAATTGAGTATAATTGCTACCAGATTTCCCCCGCTTTGTATCTCCCTCCAGCACCATCTGCTATTTGAAACGACATTTTCCACGTCGCCTGAGAGGGAATCCAAACAAACTACAAATATTAATAGATAATCCAGTGAAGTCTTTCAATGAAATAATGCTACAGCGTATTGATCCGTCTAGGTGCAAAAGGTCAAAACACTTTGGTATTATGCAGCTGGCTGTGCACATGATTGGCAGGGCGCGCTGGCGCAGTTCCAGGGTTTAATTCCCAAAGGTTATTGAAAAACGCTCTTGACCTTGATTATGGAGAATAAGAGTCTTTTATGCTCCAGTTTCCTGCTTTAAGCGCAGGAACATTATGTGTGTCAACGGAGGAGTGTTAAGAGAGTGTGCAGCTCGGATCGATGGGAGTGGGCTGAAAGTATTTGTATCAGTTTAAATCAAATAGAATAAATATGAAAGAATAAAGAGTGATCTGTATACGTGTCAGCTCTCATCGGGAGTTAAATGATGTTTCAAACGCAACGCTTCGTGAAAATAAAACCATTCAACGTGAGGATGACTCAAAAACACCCAAACCGTGAGGAAAGGAGATTATCGATTTATTCATTTAAAGTGCCATCAGGTCAGAGTGAACACAGGTGTGTGGGATTCGACAGGGTGCGTTCAGGACCCTCACGTCGACAGATACCGTTCCTTTTGAAATAAGTCTCTTCGTTACAAATATACATAAATATTAACATTTAAGGTTAAATAGTAAATAAATAGAACAAGAGTCTATGAAGCGAGTGCGTCAAAGCATGAACTTCAGACACACTACTACAAGAACAGCGACAACATTACAGATGAAATAGAAACACGATAGAAAAGTTCGACAAACTCAGTGTTGCACACGAGTGCCCGCAGTCTTCGACGTGTGTGTGTGTGTGTGTGTGTGTCTGTCTCACACCGGTTGACTTCTGTATCGCTTCCCACTCAGGTCTAAAAACGACGCAACAGCGCCACCACGTGTGTGTCGCGTCTTACTGCACGCGGAACAAACACGATCAAGTAAACTATCCTGACTAAACTATTGATATTCTCATTTTTACTAAAATCACCATGTATTTTCTTTAGACGGTTTTATAAAAGTGCTGCTTAAATATATATTCTAAACTCTGCTAATGATACGTATACTGATCACATCACATGTCTAAAATGTACGTCGCTTTGGATAAAAGCGTCAGCTAAATGACATGTAATGTAATGTAATGTAATGTAAAACAAGTGCTTCTGCGTCGCATGTTGCAGCAGTCGCATAAAACATTGGGAATCCAAATGAAACAAAGGCTCAATCCAGAGTGGATGGTTCATTTTTATTTCTGACATTCGATTTTTGTAAAATAACCAAGGCAATGCCAAGCATAGAAACCCTCCGTGGAGTTTGAACAGAATACGACTGGCATCCAGAGTTTCACTGAGCAGGTCCTTCATGTGAATGTCTGGCGGGCATCTCAGTCAGCGGAGCCCTAAACACGACCAACTGTCATTAGTTAGTCAGAGGCAACACGACGCAGAGGCAACATGACAACATGATGCACAACCCGTGCATTTCAAAAAGAAATCTGCAGTCGGATAGCTCTTTGGCAGCTATAGATTCTTTGTCAACATTTTCTTACAGTTTGTGTTATGTGGTAAATTTAGCAAAGTATCTTGATGAAATGAGTTCATGAAACATCTGGATTTCAGATGAGAGATTAACTTCATGTTTGCTTTAGGTGTTCCTCCTGGTTTTCAAACATTGGGACATTTAGTTTATATCGACTCTATAACTATACAAGTAAGTCAATCAAATGCAAATGTAACGCATCACGAGTGTAGACGGATGGCAAATGTACCGCTTTGGTACGCTCACAACGGAGCTGCTGGAGAAACACAATGTTTGCTCGGCGTCAATGCGTTTGTTCGGCACAATGAACAAATTGGCAAAACAAACATGAAGCCAGTTTCACATCTGAAATCTTAGAAATGCAGGGGGTCCAAGATGGAAATTCCTTGTTTGAAAATATGCACGGTGTGTTTTAAATGAGAGATGCGTCACAGGTCGTAGCCAGGAGAGACGGCAACCGCTGGAATGAACCGCGATGAGAAGAAAATGACAAGAAGAACCAAAAAGAATACAGAAAATCCTTATGTTCTCCCTTCAGAGGAACATGTGCAAAATACATCATACTCTACATTTCATACTTCGAAAAAAAAAAAGAAAAAAGAAATGAAACTCAGTTGAGCAGCGTTGGCCAGGTTGGATCCTACATGGATTATGTATTCATTCTCTGCCCTTTGGCCAACGCTTTGCACACGGCAACAGCAAAGTCATTCATAGTAATAAGACCTTTAGTAATAGCGGTTCTAAGTAATACTTTTGCAGGCTAACTGGTGCGTCTCCGGTCGGTCGGCGCCGCGCTGATCCCACTCCCAACAGAGGAGTGATCACACCAGCTGGAGGACGCGTCATGCAGACTGGACAAGCGGTAACACTGGGTCAAAAAGGGACCAGAAAGGCTCTGCTTCTCCCAAAGCTTCCTCCACCAAAGCAAATGTGCACAGGTAACAAACCAGGACATCGAAGTGCACGGAAGCTTTGGAGAAGTCACGCTCCCTGATCTTATTCATATAGCGACACTTCCCCGGGTTGATTAATACGGAGTGGCGTTTAAGTACACTACACACAGACAGGTTGGGCCGTTTCCTCGTACACAAACACATCAGTGGATATTTGGTTGCTCACAGCCAGAGAGCAGCTTTGGAGTGTCGCTAGTATAAACTGACACTGTGGTGCAAATGAAGCCCCACCCACCCAACAACAAAATGTAGGTGCAAGGATAGTGCACGTTGGGACAAAAACTTAAACAAAATGACTGTACTGTTAATAGTGGCAGCGTGCAAGCTCGACATATGAGCATGCATCTGGATTCGGCACTCGAGTTTGAAGTCAACCAACTCCCACAAACACGCGCGCACACACACACACACACACACGCACGCACGCACGCACAGGTCTGGCTACAAAAGGGTTTGACAGAAATAGTGCGCTAGTACGTGTGAAAAAAAGACAAAAAGCTCTGCCATCAAGTGACTCAATTTGCTGGTAGTAACAGAGTGAAGTGACAGCAGGAGGGCGATGGGCTGCTCTGATGGGATTGGTTTATAAACGGAGCGACGGATGATCGGCTCCTGCCTCCAGCGTCCACAACGCGCGGCTCGGTGGGAGACTCTCCCCGCGCTGAACGTTGCGCCCTCTCCTGTCTCAACGCTCCCTTGTTTGCAGTCCGTCTGTGGGGCGCGGGCTGCCCGATAAAGCATGATGTAAAAATGATCTTAAAAATAGCATCTCTTGAACAGTAATACAAAAGTTTGGCGATGATGTTTTTTTCTTTTTCTTTTGCTGGGACCAGCCTAACAAGTTTGAATGAAATCTCGAAGTATAACAGAGAAAGCCTGACAAATGAAAGGAATTAGTTCTCCCATGTGAACCCTTTGATTTGTTCACACTGCAACACTTAAACAGACCTCGCCGCATGCCCTCTGCTTAGCGCCGGGCTTCAGGTCACGCGACGGCCTGAAGAAACCACACCCTGCTAATGCTCTGTGTGTATTCACTAATACCGCACAGAACTACCGCCATCTTTATCAAAAGCTATAAGAACTCTGCAGACTCTGTCATGTGTAGCCCGCGAAGGCTCTCTAAACCGCTGAACCCATTCCTCATTAGATGTTGGCACATACAGGACTACAGTCGAAATGCAAATACTACTAAGTGACGCTGCCCAAACAAGGCGCGATGGGAGCAGCCGTCCCATGAAAGGAGCCCAAGCAGGATCTGAGAGATGTCACCGTTGGTCTCATGTCAATGTCCAAGCTAACTGGGACTTTGTACTTCGGTTTCTTCCAGGATTCAACATTTTGTGGACCTTTCAAATAAATTCGCTGTTACCCTCTTTTTGTGTTGAATGGAAAATGAAATCATTGCTGGCATGAAAGTCAAAACATATTTAGGTGAACTAGTCCAAAGGAGACAATCATCTGTATTTCTGTATGTGGGCTGATGGATATCTGGTGAGATTCCTTGTGGATATAGAGGTGTTTAAGAGTTGAATTTCTGACATGGGACAGCCAACCGCTGGAAGTAGAATATAGGATAAATATTAGCAGATAGGGTTGGAATTTCCGGAAACTTTCCATGGGAAGTTAAGCTCGGGAATTTCTGAAATTTAGTTGAGAACAATACTAAGCAAGCTGAGCTCAGCTGAATGAACCCCGAATGCAGCTCGCTGGGAACGGCTTTGTCGTTACCCAGCATACGGAGTACTTGGTAGACTGAAGCTTAATACCAAATTTGTTTACCTTGTGAGTAGAGTGGCCTTAAGAGCCCGGCTGAAGTGTGCATGTGAGGGAGGAATGCTTTCAATTTAAAGTATTCAAACACGTTGAGTTGCTTCCTCAAGGCTTTACTATGCGCCAGAGAACAACTGCCCCCACGCCGTCCTTCCACCCGCAACCTCGAGTTGTAAACCTAAAGGAAACAATCCTCCTCTCACTGCTGTAATAAGTTAATTATTTTGTAACGTGTTAATTCCCATGGAGAGTTTCCACCTTTGAATGTTCCCGGAATTTTGTAACCCTATTATCATGTGGAGACTTTAGATTGTGCGTTTACATGTCCATGCACGTATGTTATGTTATGTGTGTTTGCAATGAGGCTCAGAGGCTGCATGGAGGAGGAGGAGACTGTTCCTCAGTGGGAGGGGAGGTGGGATGGTCAAGCTGTGATGATGAACCAGGAGGCGACTCCTTTCTGTCCAGTAAGAAGCCTCGGTTTAATTGAGGGGCGGAGTCAGGTTCATTGGCCGAGGAGGAGGTGGAAGACAAAACAGCGCCCTCTGTGAGTGACTGCTTCAGAGTTTCATTCACTAGCTCCCCATTTGAAGAGGAAGATGGAGTCTTGGCCAGCTTCTGGGGGGTGGACTGCACACCGGACGATGAGGCGGTTCCTCCAACCACCCCCTGCTCGGCTGTTCCTTCCTCATTCGCATCATCGGGCTTCTTGCCGGCTGGGGCCTCCTCCGGGCCCGCGGGTGTCTGATTGGCTGCAGGGGCGTCTTGGTTGGTGGTGGGCGAAAGGCTCTTCAGTTGCGAGTGACAGAGGGGGCACGTCTCCTGGACATACAGCCATTTCTTCAGACAGCCAGCGTGGAAGAAGTGACTGCACGGGGTGATCACTGCACTGTTCATGTCCTGCAAGGGATGAGCACAGAAACACAGAGGCTGTGTTGTGAGGCTGCCCTTCCACACCCGCTGGTTTCAGAACACTTCCCTCTCCTTCAACGGCAATCAAATCAAATGGCACCTAAGCCAAGCTAAGCTTAACTCTACTCTTGGCCATGTCTCCCAGAAAAACACAAAGCTGCTCCATACCTGGTAACAGATAGCACAGATGTCGTTGTACTGCTCCAGCTGAGTGTTGCTGGCCGTGGGGAGGCTTTTGATCTTGTTCACAGCATCTCTCCTGAGAAGGAAGCTCTGCCAGCCCAGCTGGGCTCTGAGCCAGACGTTGTAATACGAGTGGACCAGGATGATGGTGCTGCCCATCACACTCCACTCCCCAAAAACCGTCTCCGACACACCATAGCAGACGACACACACCGCCACCTGGCAAGGGACGGAATCCAGAAGTGAGGTGGACATTTGCAGAAGCGATATCGTACGTCAACAATGACACTTTCTCATTTCTGCTCCGTCGTGTAACGCTTTCGGTCGTGCAGCACTCACCAGGAACTCCAGGAATCTGTACGTCCCATTGACACAGTAGATGACTTCATCCATGTTCTCCACCGGAGCCTTACGAAACTCTTCAACCATGAAGAGAATGTAGATGAGCAGAGTGCCGAGAACCTGGGGAGACGTGAAAGAGCATCTTCAATAAATCAATCATTGATGATTTGTAATCGTCAGGTAAATCAATTGCATCTACAGCAACTGGATGCACTCTGAAGTGTGTGTGCATGTTATACCTGCAGCGATGTGAGGATGGAGGAGGAGATGATGATGAGTAGCCAGAAGTCCATGTGGAAGAACTGACAGATCATATAGGCCATGTAGGCCGGAAAGATCAGCAGGAACAGACACAGAGACACCGCTCTAAAGTGCTTCCACAAACTCCTGGAGGACAGACGGAGGGGGGGAGAAAGAGAGACAAAGAGGAAGTGGTGAGATCAGCGTTTGCAAACATTCAGTCAGAGTACGTCTCTAAAAAAATATTTATTTATTCATTTACTTGTCTCTTGACGCTCCGAGGGCCAGGACTATGGGGTCGGCTATCTCCAGCATGGACTGCAGGATAGAAGCGACGACAATGAAGAGGATGATGGAGAGGAGGAAGGCTCGGTGGATGACCTGGAGCTCAATTAGGCCAGTCTGGACAGCGAGGATCAGCAGCGTGATGCCTTCTGTCATCCCCCTGCACAGATGGACGGGGAGCAAACATGCAGAGTGATTAAAAAGAAACACGCTAACACTCAAGAAACCAACAAACATACACACAAACTCACCTGTGCATGGTGTTGTCGTTCATGAAAGCTCTGTAACCTTGCAGGTAGAACTTGCAGAGTGTGAGAACTCCCAGAGCAATGAAAGAGACCGTGAAAACCAGACCCAAAAGGGAGTATGGCGTACTACAACATTCTGCAATACTGAAGGAGAGAAAAGGGTGGAAAGAATAGTTATAAAACATGGCAATCAAAAGTAACAGACAGAAGCAGAACACCTATTTTATACTATAAGTAGCTCTATAACAATAATAATCTGCTAATAAACAAAAACATAGATATAGAATCTATGAAGCCATACACACACAGGCTGTGGTCCTACCTAGTGAGGAAGAGGAAAAGGAGCCGCTCTCTCGAGGTAGGCTGGTCTCTGGTGCTGAAGTAAGAGTAGATCTGCAACGCGAACAGCAGGAGCCAGAAACACATGAAGAGTACTGGAAGGACTAGCTGGTTCCAGAGAGAAATACCCAGAGCAAGCAGCCCATACACTTCCACCACCTGGAGGGGGGAGGGCAAGGGTGAGAGACACAATGACGGATAAGAGCATTCATAAGAACAGCAGGGGGACATTAATATGACATGTGAGAGGAAGCGAGGCCCCAGAGCTCGTTCATTACCTGGGCCAGCTCCCTGTAGGCCGTCTTGGCCAAGTTGTACGGTACCAACAAGTTAGATGCCAGGAAGTAGATGACTTCCAGGCCAGTGAAGATCATGGAGAACTTATTGATGAAAACGATGGTCTCCAGTGGGACCAGACACAGTCGGGCCACCAGAGGGAGGAGGTGAGCAGAAAAAAGCCAGATCCTCTTGGTCTGCATCACGCCGGAACACAGCGTACACACCACAAGCTGACCTGAAAAGGGACCAAAGAAGATAAACCTGAAGGAAAACACACAAATACATACAAAAACCTCTCGCTACCCTTCTCTCTCTCTGCATCTGTGCATCTCCATCACTGTAACTATGTTATTTTTGCTTCTCAGGCATTCAGTGTGTGGTAGAATCAGCACTAAGTGGAGTCTATTTATAACACAGGAGAGTCCATCTGTGCTCTCTAGTTAAAGGCAACCAGGTTCTATGGTCCCAGGAACACAGCAATATGCTATGAAAACCTCCTGGAGCCAAAGCTACAAAGCTCCAGTAAGAGTTCACCGCCTTCCTTAAGCCTAGTTTATGCTTCTGCGTTTTTAGAGCGACGCAGACGCAAGGACCAGATTTAAGAACTTTTGTCGGAAGAAATGCGTAAATATGAGCGCTTATACAAGCCGTCATTGGCGGGTTGTAGAAGCGGGTTGGATTCACGGAGGGAGATCGCCGCAAACGGCGGTTTGCCGGTCGAGAGATCGCAAATGTGGACAAATGTGTCCGCGATGAAAAGCAGCAGTGGCGATGCACGGGGCAATAAAGTCTATGATAAATAAACAGATAAATATAGACGTGACTCTTTAGGTCGTCTTCAACAAAACACGTCACTCCGCCTGTTGTTCTGGCGGTGAATTGCTCTGCAACACACACAGAACCATGAATTGAAACGAGTGCGTCGACGCAACGACGCAGAAGCATGCGCCGGCCTTTACAGAGTAGACATTTTCTGTCATTTAGACTTGGGTTTAGATTTAGTTGCTTAGTATATTGCAGTAAAACAATAGAGAGAAAAGCTGCGTAATCCTTTCCGTACTTTGTTAGACATTCCAGATATATGGGCGACAAAGTCGGAGTAAAAAAAATTAAAATAAAAAAAATTTGTGAGAGCTCAGGCAGGAGTAGCTGAAACATGTCCGCCTGCCTGTGATCGGGTCCGTGCACCATGCAGTTGTGTATACTGTACTAGTATTACTTTATGCGTTCACGTGTGTAATGTTATACCAATGAGTGCAGTGGTGAATCGATTAATGGAGAGAGGTTCCAGGTAGACGGGTCCTTCAAAGCCAGACTCTAGTTCACTGCGGACATAATCCCTGAGAAAGAGGTCAAACGGTTCAATATACAGGGAAATGTGGGACTATTCTATACATAATACACACAGACCACTCACACTAGTTACTGAGGTATCACGTGAGGAAACAATACATTGTAATATAGTTTGTTGTGCGCATGTTGCTTGGTGTGTGTATACCTCGAGACCTGGTGACCTGCGAACAGCAGCAGAGCCGTGAGGACATACAAGTAGAGTTTAACCAGGTGCTGACGAGGCAGAGTCAGGAGTACTAGGCTCAGGATGTAACCTGCGACAGACAAATAGAAACAGAATAGAAATCAACTGAAGCAGCAGAAGTCATTCCAAAGACTCTCTGCTAGTCCTTGTGTGCGCTGTGGTTTTGAGGCAAAAGTGGTACACTTAATCTTGGTGTTGCGGTAGTTTTTTTTATGCAATTGCGGCTAGCTTTTTTCAACTTCTCACTGCTCCTAATAATTGCAGTATGATCAGTCTACTTCTACTTCCGAAATCTATGCCCATAGAACAGCCTCAGTGCATGGTTCCTTTGGTTTTACTGCCCCACTGCCTCTTTTCATTTTGTGCGTCCACCCGCAGGGGCCCTCAGCACTTACTGAGCCCATTGGCTCATAAACCAACTGCAGCAAAGGCGCGGCGGAGAACTCAACACCGCGCTCGTCTGGTTTCTTTTAGCTCGGTCAAATCACAGCCTGAGCGTCAGACTTGTTAGACTGTTACGGTCTTTCAGCGCTTTGGCATCACTGGACACACACGTGCCCAAGTCCCCGTGAGACCTTGTTTGTGTCTTCATGATCGGCTCTGGTGCATTCTGGCTCACAAGGTTTTTCCATGATGTGTGTTCTAGAAAGAAAGATGCTGTGGTCTTTGTTGGAAATCAGTAACATCTGATAAAAAGGGCCGTGTCATGATTAACTGCAGCTTAGAAGGACCGACACTAAACTTTTAATTTGGTGGAAGAATACGTCAATCGGTTACGATTTCTGTGAGAGTTGCCAGATGAATCCACCTTGAAACGAGGCAGAATTATGGTGAACCAAAAATTGGATTTCCACTACTACAGCTGTGAGATGGAAGCTTTAAAACGAAAGTCTACCTAAAATGTAAGAAGACAAATGGACACTATCACCAACACGGTTAAATTTAATTTGTATTAAAAGAAATCCTGGGGGGGGGGGGTTCACTTCAGCTTGCATTATTATCTCTTTGTGAAGTGCTTGGGGGAATTGGTCAACAGGATAACAGTTCATTGTAGATGAAGGTTGGCACTCTCCAGTTATTTTTGTTTTCTTACACTAACTGAATCATTTCCTGCTGTTTAACAAAGCTATGACTGTCCTGAAATCACTATGAAGCAGAGCCCCACGGCTGACTGCCTACCGCCACGCGTGTGTATTCTGAAAGTGACAGGGCTGGTACAAAGCTGTGTGTGTCTGTGTGACCAACACTGACCTACGTAGTGCAGGTACAGTGCCAGGTATTTGTACTGGAACAGGGGGTTGTTGGACAGGCTGGAACGCTGGATCTTCTGGAAGAAGGAGCTGACGTCCCAGCGGTACAGGACATCCAGCAGCATGATGCTGGGAACACGCAGCCCCACATTGAGCGCCGACTCCACGCGGTCCTTCACTGCCATGGCCTCAGCTTAACCTCTGAACGGCAGGCAGAACTGACCTCTAAGACAGGATGTGAACAGCTGGCGCACTGCAGAGAAGAGGGAGAAGGTACAGGAGTTTGTTGAACAGGATGCACAGGAGATTGGAAGCAGAAACGTTGGATGATATCAGTGTCCCTTGTTCTTTTTGTTAACAAAAGGGATTTTTTTCACATTCAGATTCTAATGTCTAACTACAACCTTCTTTGTAACTTGCATTATTATGCTATTATATTGTTATGTTATCAGCGGCATGAAGTGGTCTGAAAATTATAATAATATTGTTTATTGCAATTCATTTTAATGCAACATATCCCACAACAAAAAGTAGTTAATGTGACAGCCCTAATTGGGAACTTTAAAACATTGGGTGTAAGAAAAGAAACTGTGTGGTGTTACATAAAATTAATTTGTATTAATGACTTTTTTTTTATATTTCAAAAAGTGAGATTACATACAGTAGAATACACAAAGGCATGTCAGCACAAGCAAATGGCTTATGTGAAGAGCAGCTTCCCCACAACCAGGATTTTTAAGGTCACATGAATCATCAATTCACATCAAACATGCAAAGGAACACGGGTCTGTTTGCTTGCGCACACTAACTAACCGCAAAGAACCTTATATGCTCATTGAACGAGCATCGGTGGACTGAACTCACCATCAGGTGCTGCTCTGTGTCAGGCTGATAAACGTGGCTCACAAAATCTTCTTATTCATTTATGAAGTAGGTTTCCTCATAGCTTCTCACATTGCATACATTTTATATCATTTTTTTTTCTTTTTTTTTTTAAACACTGGCTGGTAGGTTACTTTCTAATTGGACGTATAACTACATTATCACAAAACTACAACGGTCTTATATATTCATAAATATTACATTTGAGTTTACCTGCTTACTTACGTAGAAGCGACTGTACATTCAGTTCATGCTCTAGATTTATCAGAAATTAAGAATGCCAGCTGCATGTGCTTTCGACGGGTCCAAATCCAGTGTTTCCCTTAACATCATAACAGCCCCCCCCCCCCCGAAAAAGTGTGGAAATAAAAAACTAAACGTCTTCCCTGTCACAGCAGATCAGCGGTGACGCATGCACACAGTATAAAGCAGTGATGGAAACAAACTGAGTACATTTAGTCAAGTAATACTATACTTTTAAGTACACTTACTTTAAGTCTTTACTTCACTGCAATTATGTAAGATAAGTATGTGAAATACAGTGCGCTGTAAAAAGTCATTTAAACCAAAAGTAGGCAAAAAACAATGAATAAAGCTGGCTCTATTGCAGACAGTCACAACATGCAAATGTTATTGCATCAATCAGCCTTCACTTAAACGGTTGTTTCCTGCCTGCATTTGTATCATCAGTGCGAGGGAGTTAGAACATCTCAATGTCTTTCTCTCCACCCTCATCATCACCATCCTCCTGACTCCGCTCTCCCACTTTCCTTTTGGAATGAACGTGATAACATCTAAAAGGATTGCACAGGCGCAAATGTAGAGTAGAGGCGGTGCGGTCACCCGGCGGCCGGACAAAAACTTACGTTAAGGATAAGGGACATGAATAAGTAAGTTAAAATGAATGCCATCCATCGATTTACCGGCATTGTGGGACCCTGATAACGTAACTATAAATTCACCACGATTATAACTAGCGACCGAGAAATGAAGTGGGAGAGAGAGAGAGAGAGAGAGAGAGAGAGAGAGAGAGAGAGAGAGAGAGAGAGAGAGAGAGAGAGAGAGAGAGAGAGGGAGAGAGATCACCTGGCAGAACCCGGGCTTATATAACGCGAACATATTACGTTCCCATTGCACTACATTAAATCCATTAACCGCCATGGTTGCATTTATTCTAAATGGTTGCGTTCATGCAATAACTCTCTTAACAGAAACGTCCGCACCACAGAGTTCATGGATGAATGAGCGCTGCATCGGTTGATCATCTCCATGAACTCTAGTAACCCCTGCGACTCGACGGAAGAGAGAGAAAATATCGTAACTCCGCCGCAGAAGCCTGCAACGCGGCGACCGTACGAAGCGAAGGAGCGGCTTCGGTGCGCCCGATATGTGATGTGTCAAACACAACTAGCTACGGTTGCAACGGCCCCGTGTGCTGCGTGCAGATGACGAGCTGCATCGAGCAGGCAGCAGGCACGGCGCCAGCCGAGCGAGCTCACGTAGTCAGCTAACGTTAACTGTTAGCATAGCCTCCGTTAGCGATGTCAACAACCGAGCTCACTTCCAACACAGCGGAAAATATAAATCATAGCCGACGCCCTTAGTTCGCCTTTTGACGTTATCACTACGAGCACCAGAGTCTTTATACATTCGCGTAAAGGCAGAGTTAGAAAGTTTGAAGATTAACGTTAGCACAAACTGTAGCTAAGTACAACTGTAATGTTAGCCTAGCTAGCAAGGGGACTGGTAACGTTAGTTCCTGAGCTAACGTCAGCTATGGCGTCCTGCCAAGGCTAATAAGACAAAAAAAGAGAACTTACATTCGAAGATGTTCGTAATGTGTACAACGGTTTTGGGATGCTTTTCGGGTCGGATATCGACCATTTTAACTCGGCGCCGCCCGAGTTAACGGTCCTCTCGATGGAAGCGCCTCACGCTTAAAGGATGCGGCCGATCCGCTCATCTCGCCTCGCAGCCATTACCCCAGAGTTACCGGGGAGGAGGATGTACTGAGCATGCGCAGTGTAGCTCGTCCCGTTAACTCTTTTGGCCACTTACTTGTTGTATAGCAACAGTGGGAAATGAAGCTAGCTCGGCCCCTACGGAAGGCACGTTTACCTTGTGAGCATGTTTTTATCAAGGGAACGCTGACTAGATTTGTGAATATGACTAGATTTACGTTTGAGTTTGGTTAATGGACTTTAATACGGATATGCGAACAGTTATGTTTGATGTGATCCTTTCAGGATAGTCACCTCTGTATTGCGTTTTTTTGCACGGATTTAAAATTTATTGGTGTCAAATAGAAAATGACATCAGCAAAATATATTCCCCATGAACGTTTTATCCGAGATAGATTAAGATAGACCAGGTAAACAGTGGGAATACACTGATTGGGATCAATCAGAGAAATTTCATTAAAAAGAATACGCAACGTTTTTTTCTTCTTCTTTACCAGATTACATTCAAATATGTTGTACAAACTACTATCAAACGATTTGATATTAGTCCATTATAACGTGGTCACTATGGTTACAAAGGTTTTTTTTAATTCTCCCCACGTCACTACCGGCAGGATTCGGGACGCCAGGAGGAGCATCGTGTGCGCCGCTCCATGAATGAAGCTGACCGCCAAACTTCCCCGATTCATTCAACTTGCAGAGGAAATCTCCCCGCGTGGAAACATCCCACGATAGCTCGGTCTACCAGGTAAGGATACCAAAGTCCTGTTGCTCCATCAGCTAATGACGGCTAGTGTCGCGTGTTGCTAGCTGCTGCTAGCCATCTCATGCTACAAATGTCAACACCAGAGACTGTCGAAGTGACTGCGACGATTAAGGTTGAATTGTTTACCGTTGGGTCTAGAATTCAATTCAATAGATTTTATTTTGTATATGTCAAAATTGCAAATTACAAATTTGCCTCAGAGGGCTTTACAGTGTGTACACACGCGACATCTTCTGTCCCGAAACCCTCACATCGGCACCAACATGACAAACCCTGGGGATGGGGGAGAAAGGGGAAGAAACCTTAGGGAGAACGTCAGAGGAAAATCACTCCCCGGTGATGGACAGACTACAATGTTCATTCGGTACACGTGACATCCATTGTAAAAGATGTACAATACATTCAATTCCTATAACACAAATGATTCAAATGGTTGAGAGTAGTGAGCCAGGTGTCCGGCAGGACCACTGCAGGGAGGCCACCATTAGATAGAACCACCTTCCGCAGAAGCCTGTGGGGAGGGAAATAATCAAAGTCTGTAATGTTGGTTTATGATGACTATAATAGTAATGTGATTCATATTTACAAGGATAGTGATAGCAGCAGGGCCATGACAGGAGGCTGGAACCGGGTCCAGAGCCACAATGAAAAAACACTAATACTCTGTGGAAGACACAAAGTTAGTGATGTGCACTAATGTGGACGGTAATAGTAAGGGGCCTAATAATAGTGTTAGAAGCGGTAGGTGTCAGCAGAGCCATGGTCCAGATATAACCATGATCCATGGAAAACTGCAGGGGGGGGGCGGAGAATAAGCCAGCCAAAACAACATATTCCTAACCATCATGTCATGTTTTGATCTTTGTGTTTCTTTGTTAGCTACTTGTCTATGTTTTGCTCACGCTCCAGCCACATTACAGTGACACCTCTCTGTTACTGTTCTCCTCTCTCTGCAAGGTGGAAGCGTGCATGTTGGTTCCTGTAGCTGGAAATCCTACACAATATTGTGCAAATACACCTCCAGCTGCAGCCGTTTGATTGTGTGTGTGTGTGTGTGTGTGTGTGTGTGTATGTGTGTGAGAGTGAGTGTGAGGAGCCTGTGTGTAACATGTCCGTGTCAGTGATCATAAAATGGGGAGGTCAGGAGTACTCCATCAGCTCTCTGTCGGAGGAGGACACAGTGATGGACCTGAAACAGTCCATTAAGACCTTGACCGGGGTGCTACCGGAAAGACAGAAACTACTGGGACTCAAGGTCAAAGGTGAGCGGGCATCAGTGGCACATTATGGTGCAGCCAGCGTACACAATGTCATATGGTATCCAAATCATGTGCCTTTGTGTTATTTATTTACTTCAAGTACATTCTTTCTTGAGTGACGCACGCTTCTGATCAAATAAAACTACCCTTACATCTCGTTTGTCTGCATTAATACGCATTCATGATTAGCTGGTGTTTTACAGGTACAAATAAGTGCACTTCTTTTTATTTCTATGTATTTTTCTGTAGCTAAATGAATCTCAGTCCCATCTCCTTGTGTTCTATCTCCAGGTAAACCTGCAGAGGATGTGGTGAAGCTGGGCGCTTTGAAGCTGAAGCCTAACACTAAGATCATGATGATGGGTACCAGAGAGGAGAGCCTGGTGGGTATTGGGGCACTTCAAATTTATCTGCGACAGGCTGTGAGCAACTTTGCTGGAGTCAACCAGCAATGTGACTGAATGACCGCGGATTTGTAGTTTAAACAATTATGATGGAGGCTTTCTAAAATCACTGACTTGCTTTACTTATCTGTTCAGTTAGTGATTATTCTGCTAGTTACATGTTAAAATATTTGCTTATTGCGTTGAAGGTTTCCCTTTGCTGATTGGTAACTGTTTTGTGCAGGAAGAGGTTTTAGCCCCTCCCCCAGAGAACGATGATGTGGTCAATGATTTTGATATTGAGGAGGAGGTCATTGAAGTGGAGAACAGGTTAGATATTGTTATGGGATTTCTGTTGTGTTTGTGGCTGCAAGAGGACATTTGTGAGACAAAATGTACCCGTGCGCCTGAGGGACAAATGTCCCTCTCTGTCTCTAGAGAGGAGAATCTGGCAAAGATTGCCCGCAGAGTGAAAGACTATAAGGTGGAGGAGATGAACCCTCCCAGGGAAGGCAAGGGGCTTCTGGTACTGGATGTGGACTACACACTGTTCGGTGAGTTACACTGCCACTGCCACTGGTCCCAATACGAACGTGACTGGAAAACCAATCAGTCGCTAGTGTAATCCAGGGCACCATGCGTTGATGTCTGCAATCTGTGTGTGTTTAGATCATAAGTCGTGTGCGGAAACGGGTCAGGAGCTGATGAGACCATACCTCCACGAGTTTCTCACATCGGCCTACGAGGACTACGACATTGTCATCTGGTGTATGTGTCTTCTTGTCCGTTGTTGTTGTTGTTAGGGTCCAAGTTAGACTACATGCATCACTCTGGAAGTGTAGGAGAATATAATTATTGAAATATTTATGGCTGAACGTCTTTGAAAATGCAACATTTACTGCACAACTTCTTTCACCTTCAGGAGTTCCTCTGTGTGCTGCTACCCATCAATCACTGCTTGGGGAATACACATCTTACACTTTTATTTTCTCTCCTTAGCTGCTACGAGTATGAAGTGGATTGATGCCAAAATGAAAGTAAGAATTCCACTTGTTGTGTTTCTTTTTTTAGGTTGTTTGCTTAAGCTGTCGTACTGCTCTCATTACTGTACTTTGCCCCTTTTTGCCAAAAGGTGGCAGTGTTATTCAATTTAAAAAGCAGCGTTTGTGAGGAGAAAACAACACAACTGTGTGTGTGTGTGTGTGTGTGTGTGTGTGTGTGTGTGTGTGTGTGTGTTTAGGAACTGGGAGTGACAGACAACCCTAACTACAAGATTACGTTTATGTTGGATAGTGCAGCAATGATCACGGTACATACCCCAAAGAGAGGAGTTGTGGAGGTTCGTACACACACACACAACACTGATCATAAATGAACATATTGGCTTGTTTCACTGCTGCAGTTATTACTGATGTCTGCAAATCTTTCACAGCAGCAGAAAGCATCTGTATTTATGTGTAGTTTCTTTCTCTTTTTGTGTCACTTTTCAGTGTTCAATGTGCCTTTCTATTTGCAATGTATCCAGGTGAAGCCGCTGGGCGTAATATGGGGGAAGTACGAAGAGTTTTACAATAGGAGGAACACGATTATGTTTGATGACATCGGAAGGAATTTTCTCATGAACCCACAAAACGGACTAAAGGTAGGCGGCACCACCGGCATCATTGCCATTTCCTTTGGCCTCATCCTCAGTATTGTCAACACCAAGCACAGATCTTGCTGAATTTTGTGTGTGTGTGTGTGTGTGTGTGTGTGTGTGTGTGTGTGTGTGTGTGTGTGTGTGTGTGTGTGTGTGTGTTAGATTCGACCCTTTATGAAGGCCCATCTTAACAGAGAGAAGGACAGGGAACTCTATAAACTGGCTCAGTACCTCAAAGAAATCGCCAAGCTTGACGACCTCAGTGGACTCAACCACAAACACTGGGAGAGGTAATAATCATAAGAACAGTCATTTTGTTTATATAGCACTTCTTAAAAAAGAGTTTACAAAGTCCTTTTGAAAGACGAAGCGGATTAAAAGGACAAGCAACACGTATGCAAAGCATTAATGCTGCATAGTACTGACACGACGCATTCTTAGAACTTCCTTTTACAACTTTGGCTGAAATCAATGTAAATTCACCAAGATATTTAAAACTCTGAAATATGTCCATGGGTGTTGTATGTACTGATTGTGTCCGTGTGTGTAGGTACCTATCTAAGAGACAGCATCACTGAGGAGGCCCTGCATCAAAGACTCGGGCTGGACACTACTACCCCATCATCCAGTTCTCAAATACACAAACTTGGCTGTTACGAGCCCTTTATTACAACCCGCAATACGAATCCTACCCTAAAACCTGCAGACGCCGACTGTCAAAAGCTCTGGACCGAGATGGGCTTTCCAATTCCTATCTTCGCATGTTCTCACACATTTCTTTGCCCTTATTACAACCGTAACCCCAGTGACCACCCGTCTGTGTCAGTCCTTAGGGATGCATCGATGTTGGATATCGGGCTACTGACCCAACAAGTTGGATCTGGCCAATCTATATAATACATACAAGTTTGGACCAATTTCTTGATACATTTAAAAGGTTTACACAGGAATTGTTACTTTTGAAGGTTTTTTTTACCATGTATTATTTTATTCCTGAATAAAAAATCCATTATATGTATATATTTATGATATTTATTATTTTGGTTTTGAAGCAGAAGTTGGGAAAGCAATGTTTAAGTCCAGCCTAATGTTGCCTTAATCATAAAAAAAATGAGCCTGCTTTTCACCTTACTGTGGTAATCGCATTATAAATTGAACACCAGTTTTGGATCAATACTCTGTATCACCCGATATCCAAAGCCCAGGTGTTGGGGTGAAAAAATGGTTGGATCGTTGCATCCCTAGTAATCATGAACCAGCCACATGCCGCGGTCCACAGTGACCTACGAACTCCTACAAACCTCCTTCAGTCAAGTGTGGAATAGACATCTCGTTAAATGGCACCTGAAAATATTTGAGATCTTTTAAACCTCCTTGGCCTCCCAGATGGTTTTCACCTTATAAGAAGTTGCTTGTCTGTCACTAAAAAGTTGGCATTCGTTGTCTTGACTACCAAGCCGCTCTGCTATACCACGCAAGTAAGAATGGATACAAATATTCTTTTATCATGAAGTTAAGATGTTTCCTATTCCATTTACTGAAGAGTGGAGATTAACCATCAAAAGACAATATTTCTATTCCAATAATATTTTGTTTGCACTGAGTTGGACTAATTTCACATAAAACAGATCTATAGTTTTACTGAAGTTGTTCTTGCAAGATTATTTTCTGCAAAGCTTATTGAAAAAATGTGGAAAATTGAAAAGGTAAATAATGTTGAGAGAACTTTTCCCAAATGCCCAAGACGTCCATGTGCATCAAACCTACCCCGTTTAACATGTAATAATATGCAATAATCCTCAAAGCTACTGTGACATTAACAGCCAAGTTGAGATTGAAACTGGTTGTTACGCAAATGCTTTCACGGCGCACAAACATAATTTGTTTTGTTTAGTTTTCGTTAGCTGCTTCATTACTGAAATGAATGCGTCTGCTCTTATTGTCACGATAAGATACGGATGAAGGAGGGGTTGTGTCGGGAGGCGGATCCGTATCCGAATTCATGAGCACCCAAAGTTCTTCATCAGGGATGTGATTTTTATTTTTATTTTGTTGGATTAACAGCTCTTGGATATTCAACTCCATTTTGTTTCTTGAGATCTGCCTTTTGTCTTTTCCTCATCACATCCTTAACATCCTGGCTGTAAATATGACAATAAACCTTTTTTTGTACCTAACTTACCTGTGTTGGCCATTGTTTTTGGAGTAATGTAAAATATTTTACAAGGATTACCACTGTATATGAAATACATTTGAGGGGTTGGACAAAAATGCAGAACATGCAGTATATCAATATTTTAGTTTATTTATTGGGACATTTTTAATAAACATTTTAGCAACAATTCTATTTAATAAGATTGAAAATAATCATTTTAACAAGATACTCTTTAGAGATCAATAAATACTGTACATTTCAGTAGTTTTTGTGGATTGCAAAATGTCTTGCACACTTGTGCTTTTCCGTCCTTTATGTCGGGACACATTCTTGGCTTTTTGGATTTGCTCTGCTGATGGAAAAGATAGAATGAAACAGTTTAGATCAGATCTTTGTTGCGTGTATTGGTATTATTTGGATAAATCCTATGATCTCATCAAATGATGTATCTGCAAACATCAACTTATAAGTTATATACTTACGTGCAAAAGCTCCATGGGCTAAACGGCCCCTGGGTGTGTTTGTCCTGAGCTCGCACACAGAATGTATACTTCTTGGTTTTAATGTTGAGCTCATACTTTGTTTCCGGAGTCTCTTCTAACTGCACAAGAGAAAAGATCCAAATGTGATGTAACTGGAAGTCAGCAAAGGTATCTTTACACTAACACTGTGTGCCGTGTATATTACCATTATGTGCTCCGTACTGTCACAGGACAATCCTTTTTTGACCACCTTGACCTGGAACTGCAGGGCAAAGTAGGTGCACGGCTTCTCCCAGGAGTCGGGGTGGCTCCAGCTGAACTCCTTCTTATTACCGCGCAGGTTGGGGAGTGCATCCGGCCTCACTGAAGGGGGGGGGGGGTGTAGGAAGGGAGGCGAGGCAGGTGACGGAGGGTCAGGACAGAAGCAATAGCAAGACGATAGCAAGTGAATGAGGAGGAATGGATGACAGTGAGTTTTTGTGAAACCCAAACTACCATATTCACTGAGAAAAGAGAATACAGTGACTTACCAATATCTCTCAGGTAGAACAACCTAGTGTAGACCTCGAGATAATAACCAATGTAAATGTAGACGATGAGGCGGATGCGGTGCTGCTCCTCTTTGTGTGGGCAGCTGGCGTCCTGGCAGTGGATCCCTGATCCATCAGCATCCAGCTCACAGGATATTTCCGAATAACTGGATTGACTGGATTGAGGAGAAACTGATTGATACAACACTCTAATCCAGAACACAGGATCCAATCCTGATTAATATAAATATTTGCATTTTGTTTTTACCGTTCTGCCCTTACGAGGAGCACAGAAGCGCTTTCTCTCAGCTTGGATCTCTTCCAGGTGCAGTGGAAGGAGCTGTAGTTATATGCTGAACAGTGAATGTGACCTGAAGGAGCAGAAGCACTGTTAGCACTCTAAAAGTCTTTCCCTGTGTGTTTAATGCTCGTGTGAACAATTCATCTCTACGTGTTTGTGTTTCAAAGCGATTTATTTTGAAGGTCCCAGCATTTAAGCGTCAGTAAATCATTTCATTTGGCACACAGCTCGAGAAAGGATGATTTTTTTTTAACCTGAGAAAAAAACTGTTTTAATGCTACTCAAAGCTTTTTCCCATTTTGTAGTTTATGCTACAGGGATTGTTTTCTCCCCTCTGGTAACAATCACCCCCCCTCTCTCCCTCTCTCTCTGTTCTCTCCCCTTTCTATTCCGACGCCACCTCACCCCTCACAAAACCTCTCTCCTATTACACAAACCATCTATCCTCTCTCATTTAGTCTTTTCTCCCAATGTGTGCGTCTCAATGTTTTTCTCTCCATCTTATTCTACTCACCGATGTCTGATTGTTCTGTCAGTATGTCTTGTCCAATCTTGTGGCCTGATTCTAGTTGGACCAGGATCACAGTGTGATTCAGGTAATCTCCGTCTGGACCGAGGTGACAAGTGTAGTTTCCTCCATCCATCTCTTTCACTTCGACCTGGACCTGGTTCCCCTCCAGAGGTGGATTGATCCACTCGCCTGAGACAAGGACAACAGATCAATGGAACAATCATGGCTCAAATCTCAGAAAAACACAGAAAAATCTGACTGAAGTTTGGTTTTAATCAGAAAATATTTTTAAGATGTATTAGTAATGTATCCAATCTGCACAAGTACTATTAGGAGCACCAGTGAGAGCAAACGCAGTATTACTTATAACAGTCGTATTACCGTTTTTCTTCCAAAGCACACGCTGGTTTTCATAAGCTTCTCCACAGCTCAGAGGAACCGACGCTTTGGTGGCCACACCGTGACGCACCTTCAGGGCCAGAACTGGTTCAATCCGAGACAAGAAAACACACATTCACACAGACTGGCTGGAATCGGCATCAAGGCAAAGACAATAATGAAGAGGAGCATTTAGTAGAGAAAAGAGGAGCTAAACCAACCATTATCCATCAGAGCTTCTATACTGTATTCTATACTGCTGGAGCCGACGGGCCACAGTCCAGCACAGAGGACCATCAGGAACAACGCATGCATCTGGGAGAAAGGACAACGGGGACAGGTACATAAACAGAGGAACAGTCATGTGCTCTTTCTAATGCGCCATGAGGCTGCGACTCTTGAGGATGCACACATATGATTATTCAAAAACAAAACAAAAATCCCCCATCCGGATACGAAATTTGTTGTTTCACCAACAGTTTCAAACTTTTTTGTTTTTCAAAAGAAAAGCATTGCAGTAGAAAGTACGATACTTTTCTTTATTTAACGGAGGGAGAAAAAAAATGGCTAAACCTGAAAAAAGCAGCGGTTTGATTTAAATATTTTTTTCAGGATGCTGAGGAAGTAAAAAAATAGAAAGTAATTTACTTTCTTGCAACTCTTTTTTGGGAACTGCTGAACAAAACTGTTAATAGATAACCTAAATGAGTAGATCTTACCTTGGAACAAGTGGACGTGATGATCCGATGAGGACAGCAGATGAGGTGAGATGCTCTTCTGTGTTCAGCGTGTCTGCATAAACTCCGCATGCTGTCGGCGTATTTATGTAAAGGAGGCAGAAGGTTGAAAAAACCCAGACAAGAGGAACTGTCCCCTGTGTGTGGGTTTGTTGACTTAAGGTCACGATGTTGTCCATCACTTGGAAACACCAGGAGCGTTTTGATTAACTAGGAAGCGAGGGACAAGATTGACATTATCCTTCTATGGATGAGCTTCCTCTTTTGTCTGACTCACATGAGGAAGAAGTGGAGTTTATTATACACTACAATCCATTGTTGAATTGTGCTTATGATCCTGCGGCCGCATTGACCAATGTGGAGGGTTAGTCAAGCCTGACAATGGAGACAGAAACCTCCGTAGAAAGGGAAGTGGAAAGGCTCAATTGTTTGCACATGACTAGTGTGGTGTGTTGTATCACTAAAGGTACCCTGGAAAATGCTCAAAAAAAGTCCTCAGGAACAAGAAAGCAAAAGGTGAAAACAAATTCTAGTGTAAAAGAGAACAGACCCGCTGTGATGAAAGGGTTCGTTATGTGTTCGTGAGAGTCCCATGTGGGTTAGTACATTTGGTTTGTGAAGAAAATGCTCTTTTAGAAAACAAATTGGTATGTATCTCATCTGGGAAGTTACCTGTGTAGCGTGTTATGATCTATGGAGGACTTTCCATCATTCATTGTGCTCCAGTTTTAACCACTAACATTTCACCGTGCCAGTGTGGCTGCATCTGTAATGAAACGATAAAACAACAAAAAACGAATACAACTCGTTGTGGAGGGTCCTTCTGATTCAACATTGCTCTGGTAATAGATGACTATGGCTCATATGCGGTGAGCGTTGTTTCTGAAAAAAGTGTGTTGCTCAGAAACAGTTAATTAACTTAATTGAGACCACAACACACACATGATTCCACGATTACAAAAATAAAAAAAGGAATGTATTAATAATAATAATCTTTGGGCACAAAGAAAATGAAACCTATGAAGAGAGTGACCTTTCACATTCAACAGCATGGAAGAGGGCCTTTAACTCACCCAATCAAAGGTCAAGTGCACAAACTAACACCACCAGGCCGATTACGTCACTCGGGGCAGAGACGCTTTTAGCACACAGGTCAACCACCCCCACATTCTCTCACCGGCTGATTGACATTCGCATTTTTCTTCTCAAGCTGGGAATGCCAGCTGGCATTAGTCTTCTCTCTAGACTAGAAGAGGTCTCTCTGCATCAGCAAGGCTTTTTTTTTAACGGAATTTTCCAATGTTCTGTCTGGCTGGAATGAGGAATTTGATGGAAGGGAATTCGCTTTGTGGTAAAGCAGAATGTGCAATGTTTGATGGCCGAAATGTGGATGCCGCATGTGTTGAAAGATTAGGTTTTACGTCGAGACTGGAAGAACTAGCAAACAGTGAGCCGGGTCCAAGAGGTAGAAGATCCACCTGTGGAATCGTCAAAGCCAATAGAGACGGAGGTGCTGATGGGACTCACCCGTATCGTTAGACAGAGCCAGGTTTCCGGTTCCCAATGCTTATGCTAAGCTAAGCTAGCTGCTGGCTACAGATTGATATTTCCCAAGCAGACACGAGTGGTGCCGATCTCTCGAAAGCAAATATGTTTTTCCCTTTAAATGTAAAATTGCATTGTAACTGCCACTATGTTTTGTTCCACTTCTAAACCCAAACCATACTCAAAACGAAATTAGACAGCAAGTGATGACTAGAAACAATTACCAATTTTAATTTAAAACTTTTTATTTTTTATAATCAAAATATGCAACTCTGTTGCTGATGTTCCATTCTTTTCCCACACAAATAATTGTGGTTGTGTTTTGATCATTTACAAACATCCACGCACACACACACGCTTATTCACACACACACTCAAAAAGGCTGACTGACTACTGCATGTTTATTACACGATTGAAATAAAGCATCTAATCCAGCAGCAGCTTGGTGAGACGTCGCCCCAAACTACAACTTCTTAACGAGTGAGGACACATCTGTTTATTATAGCGACCATTCCTTACAGCACGGTATAATGACTCCATTCAAAAGACTGTCACGATTGTTTCAGCGTCTTCGTTCTTTTTCTTCAATTCTATTGTAATGAAAATGGAGTTCTAAGTGTACGTATGTAATGTATGCACTTTTCTTGTTCTTCTGAGTTTGTACCCTATGGTTGAATGCACTTATTGTAAGTCGCTTTGGATAAAAGCGTCAGCTAAATGACATGTAATGTAAAACCCTGTGGCCTCATGAACAGAATTCTGCCGACCAAATTTTGCAAGGGATCCTGACTTGAACAGAAACTGAAACGCCTAGAAGCAGAAATATATGAACAACGGTGTTGCTAAGAAAGTCTTTTATGCACTAGTTCTCTTTTTGGTTGTTTGGTTTCCATGGGAACAGTTAAAAAGACTTCAAAAAAGTTTCAACATGTAAAACCAAAAGAATGAGTCCCTTTCTCAATTCTCAAAGAAGAGTCTTCTTTGCTACGGCAGACAGCCGACCTCCACCCGAACAAAAGCCCTTCTCCTTAAAAACTACAAGAGAAGAGTGGAGCAGAAAAAAGGAAAGTCAAAATCAACTTTCATTCCTTTTCGTCTCCCTTGTCATCCATCCCCCCCACCCACACACACCCCTCTCCTCCGGAGATCGGGGCCGAGTCAATTCTCCACCGGCGTCGGCTCTTCCGGCACCGCTGCGCCTCCTTCCACCGGCCCGGCGGCCTCCGCTGTGTGTCCGCTTGTGGGCGGCGGCTGGCTGAGGATGACCTGCACCACGTAGTCCCTGGAGATGTTGAGCTGGTCCAGGCGCAGCCTGTCAGTCAGCGGCCGGCCGGAGAAGAACCAGCGCTGGGTGGCGGCGGGCACGCCCTCCTGAGCGTGCAGGCGGCGCTTCATCATGCCCACCGTGTCGGCGGAGCGGACCGCCAGCCGGAGGTCACGGCCCGTGGAGAGGCGCAGCCGGAGCTGGCACTCCCCCCCCGAGGCGGGGTCGCCGGCGGAGTCCGGGTCGGAGCCGTCGGGCTCGTCGGAGCGCTCTTCGATCATGTTGACGGGGGGAGAGAGGCAGTAGACCGGCAGCTGGTAGCGATTCCCCAGTTCGTCGTAGCATTCGGTCAGAGCTCCTGGTGGGGGGAGCGGAAAAGTGGGTCAAAGGTCAGAGGAATGTTTTATTTGCCTCCTAAGTTGATTTTAATTGCATGTCATGTCAGATACCTGCTGGGAATTCACAGCTTACTGTAATCATCACACCATTATCAGTGTGCATACACACGTACATTCTGTACACCGGGTGAATGTTTAACTTGGTATTTCCAACACTGAGCAATTAATAACTGAACATGTCACCCAAACTTTCCCTCAAATTATGTTCATTATGTTATCCGGGGTGTGGATAGGAAGTGCTTCCGCGCGCCTCGCTGTGCACGAGCTTGACTGCTTATTGGCACATTTGTGTTGCATCTAAATAGAAGTTTGCTTTTATATATTTTCATTGTTGCACTCTTGATCTGAAAGTCAGTCACATAACTTTTTTTCCGTTGAACAAAGCCAAAGGCTGGACTCATTTTGCTGTAATAAAATGAACTGGAGAAAAGAAGTCCCAGTAGAAAAAGAAAAGCCAGAGGAAAGAGGATTGAAAGCAAAAGAAAATGGATTTTGTGTGTCTTAAAAATCTACTCCGTCACTTTTGATCTACTGTGATTCAGACACAGAATAGAGCTGGATGAGAAGCGGTCAAAGAATTCCGTCAACAGAAAACGGAATATAGTGGCCCCCCCCTGCCCCCCTCAAAGGATCCACCAGGGGATTTTCAGACAAATCAAAACAAGGATGATAATTCCCCCGTAAAAAGACTATAAACAATGGAACAGTTCGTGGCTCTGCTGTGTTGTTTCAGGACTTCAGGAAGCAGTGAGTTGTGTGGTCAGCGCGGCCGCGATGACTCAGCGGCGGCCTACAGGATGTTGCTTTCTGCTCGCGGCGGTCGGCAAAGCGAATGTGAGAGGCGAACGACTGCGTCACTCCCATTGTTTCCAGAACTGAAATGTGCGGCGGTGTGGATAGAAAGTGTGCAGCGCCTTACGACAACAGCACTCGCCACAAAACAAAAATACTCACGTTATTTTTACACCAAGCAACAAGCGGAAGTCATTCGTTTAACCACCAGCGTTTCATCTTTAGCCACGCCCCTTTGATGCTCACCATAACAACGTCATTAGAGTCCCTCTCATAACCTTATAATACCAGATCCCAAAGTAAAGGGATTTTATTTAAAGTAAACTCCTGCGGTCATTTTAACAATCTACACAACTTCACCGGCAAAACAGTGTTTTTATCAATGTAATGGAAGATTCTAGCCTCACCCGGGCTTGTCGAGGAACTCACACGCTTACAGTGTCGCCCTTGATCCTCAGTTTTACTTGACGGCCTTTTGCCCCCTTAAAACACCGAAGGTCAAATAGAATCCCCCCTCCCTTCGCAGGCCTGGATAACTGAATCTAAAGAATTAAAGAGGGGCTATTGGAGGAAGAAAATGGGTATATGTGTGTGTGTGTGGGGGGGGGGTGTTTTGAAAACTTGCTATTTTTAAAATTAAAAATCAAATCCCATATAAAATCAATTACATGGAGCCTCAGTTTTGTGTGTTATTGTTATTGACACAGCGGCAGACGCTGCTTTGTTTCCTGCCAGTTCCTCAGCTTGTATCTTCCCATCCCTTCAGATGGTTAAGACTTCATTTAAGATATTTAATGGAGATGAACATCTCTTTACATTAAAAGGTATTTTGTTGCTGCATGGCTCTTTTGCATAGTCCCCCATGAAGGAATTTGACTGTTGGGGCTGAAACATAAGGCTTCACATGATGTGAATTAATGAAGGTTTTAATTTGTTGAAAGTGGGATAAAATACAGCAGCAGATGCAAATGGCTCACGTTTTCTGCCTCAGAGTCACTTTGGCAGATCAAGTTGGTCTCAATCCAATAAGATGCACTAAAGAAGGAGACTAATGCATCTTAACGAGTGAAAAGGGTCCATTGTGAATGCTTAAAAAAACGGCAACGATGGTCTGCACTCTAGTAGCGTAATGCAGGTCATTCAAACTTCTTAAAAAGAGTTCTCTCAGGACTTTCCGAATTCTCAAATGCTTTGCGGGGAGAGCAGCGTCCCTGAAGAGCAAACGTCTGAATACATAAAAGACTAGAGAATAAAACCGCACGGCCGAACCGATATGCATGTGTATAAACAGAACGAGAACACGTCAGAAAACATGTTTGTTGTGTTCATATGTCGCATTGAATGTCAATAGTGTAATAATCCCGACAGGCTCAATTAGTCCTGATGACTTTGACTTCCATCTTTACCACAATGACACCACATTTGTGCTTTCCAGGGGAATTTCTCAATTATCGAATGGACTGCAAGACAATTCTGTAACATGTCATAGTTCACGTTGTGCTCAGGATATGTAACAGCTTTGACAAAAACCAAACTTTCCTTCTGCCCTCACCAAGAAAAAAAAAAAGATGATTTGTCCAACACGTTTGTCCCTAAAATATACCTGCTACACTAATATCCTTCACATCTGTACTTTGTGTCTAACACCAGTTACAATCTTGCATGACAACAGAGCACTGCTGTCCCCAAGTAGCCGGTAGAGCAACAAAAAAAAAAAAACAGGCGCGATAGAAAAGGCTTTGAGTGATTCTGACATCTGAGGGAGCTGGCGGCTCTTTGCTCTGCAGTGCTGCATTGGAGAAGTGGTGACATCAGGCCCGGGGAATCCACATCTGCAGCACATCGGGATCTGATCTGACCTGGCCGAACTATGAAAGAGGAGGGAAAGTCTGTCTGTTGGAAACTGTGACAGCCACATCGTCCCCGGACAAAGCTGACCTTGAGACTTAGCGCAACTGACGGGGCAAATCTGTCTGGCTGTTACAACAGCCGTTACAAAATAAACGGCCTTTGATTTTTCAAAAGGGGCATTATTTGCATATAATAACCTTAGATCTACGGCCGTTTTGGGAATTGACACAGCACCAGAAAAAACAATATTGTAGGACAATCTTCTTTCATCCCTATATGTTGATTATATGTACTTCTACTATCTGGAGGGACAGATAAACACAGGATGCCATCACAGACTGAAGAGGAAAGGCAACGATTCCTTCTGTTGAGGTAATATGACTATTAAATAAATTATGACTCAAGAGAGTAACACACATCCACAAATAGAAAACCTGCACAAGCAACTAATGCTGCTCTCATACCAAAAGCGAAGCGTGAGTAGATTCCATGCAAAGTTAACGCACAGCGAATGGTTGCGAACGCCGCATATTTTTAACGGGGCGGCGTGAACGACGCGATTGAAGCGAATGATGCAGTGCAAAAAAAATGTATAAAATCTTGTAAATGTGTCTTGCGAAAGCCAAGTGTTGCGATCCTCCGGCCGTCAGCGCCGGTGTTACGCCCCTACTGGTTTTTGAACCTACTGGTTTGCCTCCTCCCGGGCGTTGTTGTTTACTTAACAACAGCAGCAGCTGCTTTCTGCCTCGGGCGCCTGATTCGTCACAAATTCACAAACAAATTGCTGAAAATCTTGAAAATGCATCACATATCCACTGCGGCGAATGAGCACTACATCAACAAAATACATTCATTGAAAGAACCTGGATTCAACCCTGCCGAGCAAAACTATAAAAGATTCAAAAGCGAAGGTTCGTTATTGACGGTTGTACATCACAGCCACTCCGGAAGAAACACATTTAAGAAAATATAAATTGCAAAAATTAACTTTGCTTTTGGTGTGAACACAGCAGAAGTGTGTGGAACGGTTCTGTTATTTGAATCTGAGCTGGCTGTATTGATTTGTTCTATGTGATACTCTTTGAGAGGATACACTGTCTGTATACGTACCTGAGTGATTACGTCATTACATCCTACCATGGATACGCCTCTTTAAATGAGTTATGTATTGATTCCTCAAAGTACACTATACACCACCTGATAACTAAACTTCACAATGGCATCATGGAGGTGTACTTTAACTGCCAGCCAAATACTGTCAATGCTCGTCGTTCATACAGATTCAACACTCATTCTTTGTGTGCAGAGCAGCTCCCCCTAACGTAAAAGAATAGTCATGAGTGGCAAAGTTAACTTGCTGTTTTTCAGACCAGAACATCAGATGACACTTGGGAAATACTTCCCATTGCCCCTCAGTTCAAATCATACTTAAAGAGTTGCTGCAGACATCTGAATCTAAGAGTTGTTATTGATATTTGGCAGGTGGAAGGGAAGCAAGTCACCCTCAGTGTGTCCACCTTATATGCTTCATACTAATTCTATATACGGTACAAACTAATCGTTTCAAACTGCTTTTAAATCCATGCAGCTACCGGTTTTAGAAGAACGAGCAACCGTGCAAATTCAAGGGTATTCAATGTCGACTGCCGGCTGCTAGTGTACGAGGAGCTTGACTTGATATGCAGCAGAGTTTAAGAATGCAGCGAGTGTCTGTCGTGATCCGGCACATATAAAAAATAATTTAAAAAAAGATCTGCAGCTTCCAGCAAAGCCTCAAACTGTTAAGAAATACTCTGAAGCTGATTTCCTGAGTCTGAGTCTCTGTGGAAGGGAGTTGTGGGAATAACCGTCCACTGCAAAGTCCTACATCCAGCACCTCTCGCAGTGTTTCATGGAGAGTAGAACCAACACTATGCTACGTCCAGCGCTGTGGAAATGTGCGTTACCGTGCGGCAGTGTGATGCTGGCCCCGTCGAGGATGGCCTGAGCCAGCAGGTGGTCGTTGGCCTCGAAGGCGCTGGCCGCGGCCCGCAGCGCGTCCCAGATCTCCTTCCGCCCCTCGAAGGCCGGCGCCGTGTCCCAGAACTCATCTCTTTTGCTGCGCAGCTGGCCTTCAGTCATCGGGTAGTCACTTTTCCATTTAGGCCGTTCTCTCTTCAGGGGCTGGTTACGCCCTAGAGTCACTGGGAAGGGGGAGGAGGAGAGGGGGGGGGGGGTACAAAGCAGGAGACAGGAGGGCGGGTGGGAGGGAGTATGAATGTGAGGTTGGAGGAAATAGAAAGATGTGAGGAAAGAGGAAAAGGGGGATGGAGAGGAGGGTGTAGGAAAAGCAGATGTAGGGAGAGTGGAAAGCGGTGGAGTGGAAAATTGACAGTCAGAGAGAGGGGGGGGCACAGGATACACAAGAAGATGAAAATGATGTATTGGGATGAAGAGTAAAGTATAAGTGAAACAAAGCATCAGTTTCTTGTAAGACTTCTCGCAACTGATGACAGATCATGTGATCTGTACACGGAGCTCCCGATCAGACGGAGCTCAACCGGAGCTGCATGTGTTGCGTTACTCTACTCAGCTACCCGGTTGAGGTTATAGCGTGTAACAGAGCCCCATCTGCAGCAGAATGGCTGACGAATAACACCATCTGGATCAACAACGAAGGGGACCACAGGTACGGGACAGTGTGCGTATGTGTGTGTCTGTGCGTGCAACACAGAGACAGAAGAGAGGATGACGGATGAAGGTGTTGAGTTACACCTGCTGCTGGTACACATGTTCTCTGATGGTCACATGGCACAGTCCGATTACACCGACCTTCAAATACAACGCTTACATACACTTATATTGACTTCTATTGATGTATGGGGGAGGAGGGGGGGGGGGGCAGCATGTGTAAAAGAGGATTTTAAACCAAAACACCACAGCGCCATGAACCAGATTAAGATAGTTATGAAAGCTGCTTTGGTGAAAACAGATAAGTTGACATGTGCAACGGCCTCTGTCCCCATCGAGCAGGGTGTCGAGTGACATCTGCATCTGGTTTTAACGCCGCACAGCAGCTTCCTGTTACCCTGAGAGCTCGTCACGTGACAGCAGAGGAAGTCCAAGACACAGAGAGACGGATGCAGGGTCGAGGAGGAGGAACCGGACTGCATCTCCTTCATCTCCAGACCTGTGATTCAAGGAACTCACTGCCCAGAAGTTTAGAAATTAAGACGCATTGTTTTTACGGTTACAGTATGACTATTAAAAAAATAGTTACGTCTTATTAATATGTTTGGGATTGTATTACTACAGAATATTGCACGCACTGTTTGGCGCACATCTGAGGAACAACTCGGGGTTTTATGCTCTGCGGGCCTCGCTCACCAAATCACCAAAGTAAACAACGCGCTTCCTTTTATCACCGCGCTGAAGCGCTCTTTAAGTTTTGACATCCTCGTCCTCCTTTTCTCGTCGACACTTTAAAAATGGCACGAAGCATGCGAGAGAAATAAAACAAAAAAATGGATATAACGGATAAAAACCAGGGAGATAACGGATTAAAACCAGAGAGCATCCGTCCCGCGCGAGCGCCCGGCGTCCGTGACCCATATTTGTTATGCAGAGAAGCTAGCAAGCTAACGGGGCTACATTTTAGCCGGCTAGCTCAGTCAAACGCCAAAGAACAAAAGGGAGGAAAGCGCCGCACAGTAAATACACCGCCACCCCCACCCTCCCTCCTCCACCCCTCCAGCCACACCACTTTAGAAAAGTAGCGGGGAGGCGTCGTTTCTCTCCGGAAGGCCCGCTGCGTGGAGCGCGATAGCGGGGAGGGGAGGGGAGCCTGTGCCCGTCCTCGGCTCGGGGACCGAGGGGAGCGAAGAAGACCTCCGACCAGCACAGCGTGCAAAAAAAAGCAAGCCAACAGGACCCTCGACAAAACAAATAAAATATGCGAAATAAAGAAGCGCGGTGCAACGCGCAGAGGCGTCCTCTCGGTTACCTCCGTTGCCGTCCGAGTTCTCGTTCAAGCTGCCCGAGGAGTCGTGGTGGCTCCCCACACAGCCACCCATGGGTGTTTCGGCAGAGCAGCCCGGGTTAGGTAGCTCACCCCCCGGCCCACAGCTAGAGCTACATCCACTAGCCCCTCTCCCCCCGCCCCCTCCTCCTCCCCTTCTTTACTTCCTCCCGTCCTTCCCTTTTTTTCTCCTCCTCTCAGCGCTGGCGGGGCTCAGCGGGCCCCCTCATCTTCATCTGTGGGGAAGGCGGAGAGATGAAGACCCGCAGAGAGGCTCGCATCGCTGCAAGGTGACCGAGGGACAGGAAGGAGAGAGGGGGGGAGGGAGGGAAAGAGAAGAGGGGGGAGAACAAAGGAGAAGTGAACTGTAACATAAGAAGGATGCAGCCTCCTTTGACTCAGTTGATGATGAGGTTCTTTGACACATCTGCGTGGCCCTTATGTTTGTTTGGGATTGTTTGACTGTGTGTGTGTGTGTGTGTGTGTGTGTGTGTGTGTGTGTTTTCTGTCCTAAAGAAGTCACAGCAAATCACTTAACCTTGTTTGTGAGTGCCGAGGAGGACTCCTGCTGTGGGCCTACTGCTGGCCTCAGAGATTCAAATTCATGTTAAACAGAAGGCTGATATTCTATTCCACACACACACACACAGTGTGTGATACAGAGAAATGTAGTTATTGTGCTACTCATTTTTCCATAGAAGTTTGTCTTGATGAAATTGTATTAGCTTCTTAGGTTGTAACTTTCCCAACGAGGGGGTCTCTTCTATGTTATTTTATTCTATTACATATGAACTATTAGGAATCAAGACACACAAGGTTTTCATTACACCGTGACATTTCATTTCAATTGTGTTCCATATTATCAATGTTGCCTTGTAATCTTCTCATCTCTGTCGAAGCATTTTCTACTCACTCTATTTCTGCGTCTGAATGCTGCAACGTTTCACTAGGTGGACACCGTCCTGCACACTATCTTTAGGACTGTCCTAAAGATACTTGAGTGTAATTTGACACACTACGGTGTTCATGTCAACACACGCACACACTCACTCACACACAAACGCAACGCGATAGCTAGGATACTTTTTCAACAAAGCTGTGTGGAATTACAATTATTCCACATTGCTTGTGACGGAAAGAAGACATTTACGCTGCAGGGAGCTGACGTGGAAGCCCTTTCCGCCTTGTCACACGCCGTAATACGGTGTAACAAGTTACTCAGAACACGCTTGTCATGTCGCTGCACACTCTGTGATCAAGGTCACAGCAGGAGACTCGGCACATTGGGTCTTTATTATCTCCTCTACTTCGTGTCCCATTGATGACGGAGTTTCTTTCAGGAGGTGCGTCAGTCTTTTGCCTGAAGGGAGCGATTGCAAAATTGGGAATGCTGCTTCTTTTGGGGGGATTTGGATAGAGATTACTGAGGCTTTATGGAATCTCAAACAAGCGTGTTATCGTCACGACATGAAAAGGTGCCACGGAATCCTTTACCCCGTTAGAAAGATGTGTTTGTATGGTTGCACTTAAAGTCGCTGTTTGTTCACTATAGCATTGTTAGAAGCACCAGCTGGCTGTGAAATGGCATCGCACTGCTCAAGGCAGGAATAGGCATGGAAAGTGTGACACGTTTATTTCTGAGATTTACAGTGGCCTCGAGTGACTTTGTTTCATCCCACCATCAAATTAATTTACAAGTAACTGTTAAAAAAAAGGTGATTACGATATATAGCGAGCAGAAAAACTCTAACGTATAATGGCAGTCATAAAATACACTGTAACAAATTGCTATAAATTTACGGTGCATCTCTAACGGTATCATACAGTATGTCATAATAACTGTAACATACAGTTAGATTTCCATCCCTTGCTTGTAAATTAACGGCCAATGTCATGAATAAACAGTTAAAGCTGTCAATTTACAATAATAGCAGACTACCGTAATTCAACTGCATGTTACATATATTTTATGAAGTGGTGGAAATACCCAAACAAGTGTAGTAAATCACAATCCATCTACATCTGTTGTAGGTTATTGTATGGATGCCCATGTCAGCCACTGAAAAACAGGTCCTGTAAGTCATCATAATGAGATAGTATCTCATGAGATACGATGATGACTTTGACTTACAGGACATTACTATACATGCAGCTGTCACTTTTATCAAAAACGGCCATGGTTTGTTATAATTTTATGTGGAGTATTTGGGGGTTAGGTGTCTTGCTCAGGGACACTTCAACTTGGCACAGGGAGCAGCCAGGATTCGAACCACCAACCTTGTGCTGCACAGCACACCCTCTCTATCCCATACACCGCCTTCGCTGTCGTTTCATGGCCGGAATGTAAAGATTATAAATATTTGTAATATTTAAAGTGTTCATTGACTAAAAGTCATTTGAGTGTTAATTGTGACCGACTGCTCCTGAACGTGACGTCAGACGCGTAATCTCAGTTCATTCAGAACACCTGTCAGTGCAGTTCAACATCGGAAGAGTTTCTCTTTGCCTCGTCTCTCATCTCTCCAAGTAACGTTGGTAAGTGTTATTTGCCTAGCATGATGAACATTCTCCTTCCTTACATCTTGTTGTCTTCCTCAACTTTGTAAGTTTAATATTTTACCAATGACAGTGTTTCTAAATATTTTATTTTGGTTTGTTTTAGAGAGGCACTGGACTAAGGACGCCAGCCGTTTGCTGCGGTCAATTGAAAGTGTTCCATAGCGTATTGTTGCAGTTAGTTTACCTTGTTTCTAATGATTTTATGATTAATTTTTTTATTATTGTATACATGCAGCATATTTTATGTTTTGTCTTAAAGGCATCTAATAAACTCCACTATGACCGAAATGAGTTTGGTTGTCTTTCTTTAATTTGTGGGGAATTAAATGCAAAAGTATACGGTTATAAGTAAACGGTAACATTCTGGTATATATAACACAAAAATAGTAATAGTATAGTAACAAACTAATCCAATATACGACAACATACTGTAAATTACGGTAGGGCGCTGTAAATGAAACCGTAAGTTACTAGCGTCGACTGCCAGTAAATTGCAGTTAATTCACAGTAAAATTCGTTCAAGTTTACGGTAACATACAGTAATCCATTTTACGGTAACATAGTGTAAAAACATTTACGATATTATACCGTAAAATAACGGTACATTTCTGGCGTCCTTGCTGCCAATTTTTTAGAGTGTACTTGCAGCCCACTGTAGACAGTGTGTCGTATAACAAGGTTTGAAAAATACTTTTGTGTTACTTTTGAAATACAGAACTGAAATGTGTGTCGAAGATGATGTTTAGATATGTCTGGAAACATCAGATCTATGCATGTAGGAGTTCCCCGAATGGAACATATTCCACAGTAAATAATATGAATAAGACGACACATGTAAAATGACACAATTGATCTACTTTACGATTACATGCATTCCTACAGATATGTTCTGAACAAGAAATTGACAAATCCACCGTAACAATGAATCAATTAAAAGTGTTTTCAACGTTAAATTTTCATTGCAGGAGATCCGAAGAATATAAACACTGTCCTCACTCCGCCAGTAGATAGAGCCAGAGCGTCTGAACTGCAGACAGAGGCACACGATACGTCTGTTTGTGTGTGTTTTGTGTGCAGGGGGTGTCTTTATGAAGCTCGGGGCCATAAATCTGTGAACACAGACTCTTCCTCATAGGGACAAAATGCTCATAATGTTTAAGGTGAGGCTAGCAGCGCGTTTTGATTAGGTTACGTCTCCAGGAGATGAATGTAAGTCAATGTAATATCCCCAATAGGCATGGGAACACAACTGTGTGTGTATGTGTGTGTTAGAGTGAGAGTGAGAGAGAGAGAGAGAGAGAGAGAGATGGAGGCTAAAGTTCAGAAACATCCATGTTCTATGGATTAAGTAATTATAGGCCCGTAGCGGTTTTCCAACAGAAGCTTGTTATTTGTTTTCCTCGCTGGTTTCCAAGTTGCATAAAACGTGCAGCACCTGTGACGGTGCTAAAGTGTGAGTACATTAACACCTGAGGCTCTGTCATCACTTTCTAGTCTGTCATCATGTCTAATTTCGATCATCTACCGAATCATTTCATATGCACTGATGCAAAAAACTAACAATATGTGATGCATGTAATGAAAAAACAGGTTGAGACGCTGACCAGCGTCTGAATTCATTTCTCTCTTATCTTTGTCGCTGTTATTTCTTTAGCTTTCTACCCCATTTCTTCCCCGAGGCTCTGCTCTTTCCTTGGCTTTCATCTGGCCAAAAGAACCGTTGACACAGAGGTTAATAGGTGTGTCATTGATTCATTCTTAACTGCTCAAATCCATTGATTTACAACTAACTGTTAAGCACAGCCCGTTAAAACCAGGACTATAGAAAGGACGAGTGTATTTGATAATGACTAGAAAGGCCAGGCCATTTGGAGCTACTTAAATCATTCACATCCATCTGTGTGTTTGTGTGACGGAAGCTGGCAGCCGGCGCACACTTCCTGGCATTGATTTAAAATTACACGGTTTGTCAGAACAAACTGCAAAGAAGAGATGCAGACTGTGGAGGAGCAAACAAGATAATACAAACATACTTTGAAAATCTGTCTTGCGCATGGATTGAAAATCCGTGGAGTAATGGTTGGAGTGTGACGTCGCTCAGCACAACATGCTCTTTAACACAACAGGCATTAGATGGCAGGCGATGATGTTGGTGTAGAGAGACGAGAAACAAACAGCGGAGGGTGATCTCAACTCACCTCCTGTGTAGACAGGATCATTCCTAACTCGTAGCATCTGTGCAGGGATTCATTAAGTCGGCTCTTTTATTTTCTGGCACATATGGTTTTGTGGGAAAATATCAATACAAACTGCAGGAACCTGAAAATAAAAAAGATGAGGGTAAGGGGATGCTGATAGCGGGTATAGGATTAGTCTCCAGGAAATGAAGGA